ACAGTGAATAGTATAAAAATTGCACTATACGGCAAAAAATTGCCGTCGTTGCCGCAATGATCCACGGCATTTTGTTCTCCCTCTACGGCAATTGCCGCAATAAAATTCGAGCCCTGGTAGGGTGCATTGCCACTTAAGGGGTTAAAGTAGGGCACATTATGATGCATAAACAACCATTTCTAATACAAACCTTCTTCAAACTTATCCAGAAGACTACACAGATCATTTGCTTGAATTCCTACATATACATGAAATTTACTTGTAAGAAATTTATAATAAACTTGGAGGAAAATAAATTTACTATAAAAAATTCTCTAAATTGAATATTTTTATGTTTCTGGTGAGATATTCATACCAAAATCATGAGAACAGTAACAAAATGTTTATGACAATACAAAAACATTAATTAACTCTTACCCTCATTTGGTAGCTCTCCTACTCTTTCAACCTATGTAATAAATTATTAACTGATTATAATGTGAATTAAGCATTTTATTCCACCTAATTTGAGATAATTTGCAGCGATGGAGATACCAGGAAGCAAACATCATTTAAAAATGAATACTAAGGTTCAGCAAACAATATTAATTAATGTGATTAGAAGCGAACAGAACTTTCTCTAAGCCTCATTTAAATGTAATAATTTTCTTTTTAGTAATGACCAGAAGGCTCTTTTTTATAACAAATTTAATAAATTGTAACAACGTTTCGGAGTTTACTGCATCATCAGGTTACATTTATACCAACTAAAAAATCTGTTAATAACGGTCGCAACGCATCGCAATTACGCAGCGCTCAACATGAATTATGTCAAGAAGATCCAAGACATACATTTCTTAAACCATTGCAAAAGAAACATCATCCTGAATTTCATCAAGAACAAAATTCAAGTGTCTTCAGAGTTATTAAAGAACAAAAAGGTATCGCGATGTTGCGAAAATAATAACGGTAGCATGCTTTAATTAACAAGTTTTTTAGTGTGTATAAATGTAACCTGATGATGGAGTAAACTCCGAAACGTTGTTACAATTTATTAAATTTGTTATAAAAAAAGCCTTCTGGTCGTTACTAAAAAGAAAAATATTAATTAATAAAACACTTTAACAATATAAAGTGCTGTGTGTCAGCTTCTTGACATGTATTTCATATCCAGCTTAGTGTATCCACTTGTGTGTTTTTCATATCCAGCTTAAATTTGTTATAAAAAAAGCCTTCTGGTCGTTACTAAAAAGAAAAATATTAATTAATAAAACACTTTAACAATATAAAGTGCTGTGTGTCAGCTTCTTGACATGTATTTCTGTATCCAGTGCTTTTATATTTATTTGGTTAAATATTTCCACTTGAATGAGAAATCGGATCGGAATTCTTTATCAAAACTCAGATTGGGTTCGGATTAGACAATTTCAGATCAGATTTTAAACATTAGCCAATTGTCGGTTTATAAACATCCAATCCGATCCACACCTCTTCTACCAACTGCAAGGTCAGGACAAATTGAAGACTGGAAATTATGAACTATATACTGAATGTCATAAACATACTTGTTTATATTAATTCAGCATCGAACAATACTTGTTCTGCGAGTGTTATACAATGTTGTGTTATTGTTCATTCGATATCTACATACATATATGTGTCCAACAGTATGAAATTTGTTAGTTCTCTGCAACCGAGTATAATATCAGACATGTTTTTGCTGGCCATTCACCTTTCACTTGTCATGTCTGGCTCTGCACATAACTAGTTCATAATCCCAATATACAAAGGGGATTCAATTGAATCAATTCATGAACTTGTTCAACAATGAGAAAAGCAAGGAATATGGTACAACCTCTTGGAAAGTATTACGAAAGTCACCGAACTGTGGAATCGCATCAAAAATTTGTATATCAACCACTCCCACAAACGTCTACAACCGCACCGACATAGTTTTGCATGTTTACAGTTCTAATTTTGAACAGTCAATCAGGTTTTTTGTAACAATTACAATTAAACGTCAATTGGCTGTTTAAAATTAGAATTGTAAACATGCACAAATATGTAGGTGCGGTCATAGACGTTTGTGGGAGTGGTTGATATACAAATTTTTTATGCGATTCCACAGTTCGGTGACTTTCGTAATATGTCACTTTTGCTATAGAGCCTCATTTTCCTGCATGTGACACTAGACATACTTTCCAGAAACATGTATTATATAATAACTACAGTGAAACACACGATTTGATTGGTCAATAGCTGTGCAGGATCAAGCTATCCTGCACAAGGAATTAAAATGCCTTTGCAGGATTCTCAAAATGTCATTGTTTCACTGTAGTTATTTTATAAAACAAAGCAGAATAGCATGATCCATGCACTTGGGATGTTGCTCCATAAAAATACATTCGTCTGCGGCTCGAGTATTTTTATGCTCTCCGAAAGTCTTGCGACATCCCTCGTGCATGGATCATGCAATCCTACACGGAAAACCATTTGGTATTCCTTTATTGTAATTTCAAAATGACTAGGATGCAAAAACAGATCCCTTTCTCTTTGAAACACACAGCAGTACTGACTGGTCTGTGATTTGGAAAGAAGGAAAGAAGGATGAACTCCATTTAACTAAATACAAATATTTGTTTTTCATGTTTTTAAAAATATTTTAAGAAGTCATATTACAAGTAAATCAAGTTAAAAACATCAATACGTTAAAAACATCAATACTTTTATATCTCTTTTCACTTCCGGCAAATAGAACATTTTAATAATACCACCACGTGTCAAAAACACTGGATATTTACACACCGGTCAACTCATTAATTTCTTAAAAAGCACAACACAAACTCACGTACAGACATAGTTTACAGCACACGCGTTAAGACAACGCTTTTCCTCTATAAACTACAAGAAATACCTTGCTATCATGGGAACTACATGGCCCCGAATGGTCTTGAATGTCGCTTTGGACGTTCTTTTGACCAACATGTGGCTCGTCCATTACTATCGATGTGTTTTCATAATTTACTCCATCAGGGGCGGGATGTTTTAAATAATCATGATCATTAAGTATTCTTTTAACGTGGTCAAGTGTTGTTTTGGTTATTTCATCAGCGTTCTCGACGGTAGAAGAGATTTTAGTCGGCAAACGTGGCTCAAGACTGACCGCCATGATGAGTTCAACCACTTCAACGAACAGCCCTGATCTCAATGAAAGGAATGTTGAGCAAGCAAAGATGACGTCATGCATACTGATTACCGTCGGTTGCATCTAAGGATGAACAGGCACAAGATGAAATTTTGGTCTGCGCTCATGTGAAACTTTCATGTTTATTATCAAGAACACTTGACAGGTTTTTGTGCTGAAAAATATTCACTATTTTGCTGGAAGGATCGAACTACCTGAAAAATATTTTAAAAATCCCTGGAAGAACTTGTGTAACTACTTTGCAGAGATCAGCTAAGCACGTGGCTGACCGAATTGAAACTTCAAACCAATAAATCAAACGCACGTTAAAAACATCTGATCAACGGTTCGTGTGAAAATAGTTTATAATTAATCCAAGTATAAACGCGCACATTCAGGCAAAAGCATTTTTCCATTGTTCCCCACAGATTTTACGAATTTTCTTTCCTTACTGGTAAAATAAAAGGAGACAAAAAATATTCAAAGCAAAGTAATTAAATTTTGAACCAGATTTATTACTAAACAATAGGCCAATATCGCTACAATATTACCTACTCAATTAAACAAAAGTATGACCAAGAATTACAATTGATTTTGAATTTCGATCAGTTAAACTTTTAAACTAAAAAAAGGCAATACCAGTGGGGCAGTGGTCACTTTGTACTACATTAATCTACAATAGGTCCATTTCATACCAATGAGTAGAATACAACTATAATCAGGAGAACGTAATAATGAGACCTAAGAAATTGTCCATAAACAGTTCCTAGCTTTCATTGGAGAATATTTTCTTAATGTCCATCGTTTCGATATACACTTTATGACTAATCTTCTGCAATGCGGCGTACTCGTTGTCCAGACACTCGAATTTAAATATGAGATCTTCCAGTTTCGTTTGGATATCTTTGAAAAAACTGGCGGGAAGATTGGGGACAAATTTGGATGAGAAAGAGTACGAGGTGGTAGTTTTAGTGGAACCTGAGGCAGGCTGAAAAGAAATATATAGACAGTGATTAGGAATGTTGAAAATATTTTATAGTTGCAGAGTCCTCACTTTGCTCGCCATTACCTGGCTGAAAAAGTTGAAGACAACTTCAGAGCGGCTGTGACAAAGCTGGGACAACTATAGTTTTCGACCATAAAAGCATGGTAGACTCATGAGTCATGGTAGTATAAGTTTCTGCAATTAGAGCTGTGCAAACTCCGGTTATTTTAGATCCGGCAGTCAAAACTCCGGCAAGGAAATTCTAAGGAAATTTCATATTTAACAGTAGAAGCAGGCGAAAGTATTTCAGTGTAATTTCAGAATTTATATTATTCCTTTTTGAGCTTTCTCCTTTACTTACCAAATATACGTGCTTCGGTGCTTGTTTAAACAATGTTTTGTAGAAAGTACAACCGCATGGCAGCGTGGTATTTTCGCCCAAAATACACCGGGGCAAGTAATTAAACTTTATATATAGTAACTTCAAATCATTCAACTTAATTTTTCCATTACCAAAAGTTCATTGAAATATGAAATAATTTTTCATTAATTTTTCCAACTCCGGCAAAATATGCCGGAACTCCGGTTCCGGCGCACTGCTCTATCTGCAACAGTGTTTCTAGTTTGTCCCGAGCTTTAAGCTTTAATATAAGATATACAAAGTTAGCTATACCTTTCCACCGCCAGATTTCCTATCAACAGGAATATCACGCGGTTTATCATCAACTTTCTTGTTCTCAACAGGTGGTGGTTGTTCACTATCATCCCTAATCATACTTAAAAATCCCCCAAAGTCTGCGTCATCCACGCCTCCATCGTCTTTACTTGGAGTGGAAGATGATCGTTTGGTTTCTTCATGTTTCGTATCTTCATCAGCCATATCTCCCATCGCTGCTGATATAAGATCATCTAGATCAGCGTCCGCCCCATCGCTTGTCTTACTTGGATTGACACCTTCTTCCACCTGGAACGATAATACAGAATAGATGTAGGGTCGATTTGAAAACTGGCCGCTACAATTTGCATTATTGTATGATTGATGTTTGTGGTGTTACTCTGAGTGATACCATTAGCCTAGCTAACACATGAACAGCGAGACCATGTATCTATCAACTCACTCATGTCATGCACTTTATGGGTCAAGTTAAGTCTAGCTAGGAACACATAGGACAAATCTAGAGGGGTCAGGGCCATACGTAGCCGGGAGTCAACCAGGGGCAATCCCCCCCCCCCTCCCCCAATATATGCTTATAATCTTGTGAATCAGAATTGTCTATGATCAGAATGCACGATTCTGTATGGGGTAGCCATACGCATACATGAACCCACAGTCTATAAACTGTGATGAACCTAACTGAATGCATTGACATTTTGGGTACTTATTTCAGTATATAGGTATTACTGCCCCCTGGTGAAAAAATCCTGCGTACGGTCTTGATATAGGATGCTACCGGACGCTACATACCGGATCACCTTTGTACTCTCGTTTCGCGGGCGCGACCTCTAACGGTTCCTCATCAGATTCATCATCCTTTTTCACATGACGTTTCGGTGCGTTCTGTTCTTCGGGTTTAACTTCTTGCCCTGCTTCTCCAAATAACTCCTCGAAGGCATCCCCGACGCTGCTTTCCTCCAGTGCAACCTCTTCCCTCTTCAGCTCTGGCTCGCTTGATTTTTTACTATCGCTGGTGAAACTCGGCAGATTCGTGACTTTAGTCTTTGACGTGCGAACGATTTTGAAACTCATTGCAGTGATAAAATGAACTAAAATAGTTGAAGTGAAGATAGGTAAACCACACACATGTTACAGGTCTGCAAAAAAAGTTGTTACAAATCTGTTCACAAGCTGTCGACAATATGTTGTGTTCGCACTGCTTGTTGATAGTTGTTGAACAAGTTTGGAACAAGCTGTTAACAACTTGTAACAAGCTTGACGGCATTATCAGACTTGTTACAAAATTGTTCCAACAAGTCTGATACAGTCATGGTATAACAAGAATATTACAAGGTTGACGACACAAGGTTGTAACAATATTGTTATACCATGACTGTATCGCATTTGTTGGAACAACCTAGCACTCTAGCAGCAAGCTTAAGTCGGATAATATCAACAAGGTTGTTACCATAGATATCTTATATACACTAGATAGTGCATCTAATTATTCTGAAATTCAAAAATTGAAGCCGTGATTACATCTGCGAGCAGACTATGATTACAGGATATTCCCATGAATTGAGAAGACTCGTATGTTTTCTATTTCTTAAACAGGGAACTTAAACATTAAGTTAAACCTATTCCAAATACATTTTCAAACTATTCAAAATTTCAAATGATGAAAGTTATCGTTGTTTTTTAAGCGTTTATTTAATAGCGAGTGGGAAACTTCAACATGGCCGCCATCTATTCAAATGGGGGTAACCGCTGGAATATTCTTGGCTTCGATTTTACTAAACGAGATGCGGTATCTAGTGTATATAAGATATCTATGGTTGTTACAAGTTGTTAACAGTTTGTTCCAAACTTGTTGACAACTTGGAACAAGCAGTGTGAACATAACTTGTTGACGACGCTTGTTGGCAGACTTGCTACAAGATGGGAGATTTTTACACGTGTAGGGGACACTCGGAGATTAAAATGACAAGACATTGTTACATTTCAGTTTACGGTAAATTAAACCTATGACATATGCATAGTGTTCAGGTTATACGAACGTGCAGGGATATGTATTAGTCTGTCAATCGTGATATTAACAACCTCTATTAAAATATAATTCCTAACCATTATCTCAACCCTAATCTTTTTGGCCTCATTTCGGAATAGTAATATGAAAGCAAGGATAACATTTTCCACATGAAGGCTTCATCCCACTTGACGAGGCTGGACATTTTTGTTGTCGATTTTGACCCATAATATAGAACGGCATAGTTGGAAATACAAACCGAAAAAAAAAAAAGTAGACTTAAACAGACACTATATATTGATGTCGTAATACAAGGTTCAGTTTGTTTAGTACAACAGAAAAATATTTCGAAGACGCGAACGTCATCGCACCGAGGCGGGATATTATAAGTGGGATAAAACAGCCACATGAACACACTGTCAGAAATGATATTCATCCTCGTAGTCACTAGGTGATCTTCTCGGCAAACTGGGCTGATATGAACAGGCCTCAAAAGTTGTCCACCTCAATCACATCTTAACATTTTCGGCTATAAGGATTTATATGAAATGAAGGTTATTGGACTATGAAATGAACTTATAGTTCGCAGCGCAATTCAAAACCACAAACTGACGTCAAAAGCATTCCACAGCATGGGCAAAGACGCATGTCTACAACTTTCAGAAGCAATACAAACATACACAAATATACACTAATATCACTGCTCGAAACTTAGTCTGCAGCATAATTACATGAGTATACTAAAATTTACAACTAAATAAAATTCAAGAACCGCTTAATACAACTGCAAACAACTGCCGAAGCCCGAAAGATCAACAAGCTTATATGTCCAATGATGCGTCACTTCAAAGCCGAACAATCCAGTACAGTACAATCCACTAGTCTTAAAATGTTACGCACTGGAAATTATTTACAGTTCAAATGAAACATACAACTACATAAGCAGTGGTCATGATTGTGCCACTCTTAATTATACGTCTTATACGTATAAAGTGAACGAAGTCTGTTGACAAAACACGATAAAAATTTTCTTTAGCATCATACTTCATGCCAATTAAACTATATAAGGACTATGGGCAATTAAGTAGAGAGGTTTTAAAAATAACCAACTTTCCCTTGCTCAGGCAAAACAAAGCAGATTTACTGTAATCGTTAACACGAGCAAGTACGATTTCTCAACCAAAAATTGCCGTATAGAACTAACCTGTGGAAACTACATTCCAAAGAGTAACTAGCCAACAATATCTAGAGATTTGACATTTCAATGTCTTTAAAGCTAGAGCTGCGAGTTAGTTTATCCCGCTACAGTATGAATTCAAACATTGGGCGAGGCATTTTACAGAATCTACATCTATTCTACATTAAATTCATTAACACAATATTACTTTACCTTTAACTTGAATACAGAGTGTGTTTTAAACTTCAATGATGCTGAGCAACCAGCTCAATAATCTAAATTGCTTTCGAGAAGGTTTACCGTTAGGTATAGGCAAAACTAAATGATCCAGGACAGTGAACAAGAGTTGAATTTGAACACCAAACACGCCGAAATAGGTTGGTTGCCAACGATTTTGTTGTCGACTTGTAACGGTGTGAATATATTTACCTCTAGAACTCTGCCCTGACGAATTTACCAGATCACAAGTCAAGCGGATCAAAACAGTGTAATGCAAATTACGTTTATTCAAAGTAGATAAAAGTTCCCATAGCTTTCATGTAAATCAGGCTGGACAGCTTCAGTAATTCACTTAAGATGACACGTTGTCACATTTTAAGAGAATTGCAATCTTCTTATAATTTAATTTGAGGTGATGGCAAGTTCTCCTCTTCGCTCACGACAAACTAAATAGTTTTAGTCACAAATTTTACGATCTTTTGCCCAATGCCATCTCACTCGATACAGCTAACATGCAGTTGAGGGGTTTTTGTGGATATTTCGAGCGGCTCGGAGCAGCTGCGAATAATGGCAATGCAACTATATAGGCCCTCTATATGAACCTGAGGCCCTGCGATTCCATGCAGTGCAGCGCTCTAACCAACTGAGCTACAGAGTCCTGTTGTCGAGAATTAACCACAAGTTCATAAATTTTAATCTTTGATTCAAAATAGAGAAATAGCTATAGTCTTTCCCACATCTTATTTCATTTCATAAAATGCAAATGATACAGCCATGCTGCACATATCCATGACACTGTATAATTGTACCTTCGAACATCCCAGCTCAGATCTTATTTTTCATTTCATTTTATTGACCTAATTTTCACGATTTGCGAAAAGTGTCCGAAAATATAGCAGAATATTGTAAACATGGATGTATCTTCCCAGGGTTTTTTCCTCGTTTTTCATGTTTTACAATCGAATTTCCTTTTTGGTAAATGTTTTTTTTTCAAAATTAAACGAGAATTACCACAATTAGTTTTTATCCTACTTTGATTAAAATTCTTCATACTCCCAAACAAACCGAGCATAAATTTTCAGTTCATATTTTTATCACTGTCCAAACTTCGTAACTTCTTGATTGTTGTTTCCCATAATTTCTTTCGTTCCCGATCCCCTTTGCGAAGAAGAGAAATTCCCCTCTTTTTGTCAGATTCTGCATACAATCTATGGCGAAAACACGCAAAGAATCAGTATTTACCCATTTAATTAAAGGGTTTTTGTAAATGGAAATGTCGTGTCAAAAACCCTTCCTGTTCTATCGAGCAAGACGCCAAAAATCTTGATATTTATTTACACAGTTAAGGGACCGGTCATTATTTATGGTGGGGGTGGCACCGAAGTGGTGGGGGGTGGCACCGAATAAATACCCACCCCTGGCAAAAAAAAACTTTACAAAAGGATACGATTCAGTTGTCACACACATCCTTCACCACTTCTGCGACATGAGTTTGATAACTGCTTGTGCAATTTTCTGCAGTCTAAAGTTTGATGTTGTCTGCACATGTACTTTCTTTGGAGACACCATTTGCCTCCTGACAAATTGGGAAATGATCAAGCTAGTGACCCTGATTGATTTACATATTGTTTTGACATATGACTGTTGACATTGCTTTTTAGTCTTCAATATTTGAGTGAGTCATACTTTGGAAATGACAATAAATCTTTATTATCCAATCCTTGAGTTATTTGGTTTTTCAGTTACCCAACCTTTTACTCACTCAATATTTTGTTTACCGAACCCTTCTCTCTTCGGTGCCACCCCCCGCTATAAATAATGACCGATCCCTAAGCTTTATCACTTGCATCCTATAGACATTAAGGCTGTTAATAAATGAGGAATTAAATGAAACAAACTTATCTCACTTTTCGAGTAGTCTTGCTGCAACCAATGGATTGACTCGCGAGTATTTACTATGAGGTTTCCCATGATCAGCCATGTAGGTTGACCAGTCACCTGACATGAGAAGATCCACCAACTACACCATGAGAAAAAAAAGTGCAAGAGTTGATCGAATATATAAATCCAATACAAATAACTTGTACAAGTAAACAATGTACAAATTAAACATCATCAAATGTGTTGCAAACAAACAAAGCGACACTTATACTATACCGTACCATACCATATTTTGATACCATACCAAGCCATACCATACCACTCAATACCATAACATACCACTCAAAATCGTACCATGCCACTCAATACCATACCATACCGCTCGAAACCATGGCATTCAAAACCATACCATACTATTCAATACCATACCATACCATACCATACCATACCATACCATACCATACCAAACCATATCTCACACCAAATCACAACATACGACACAGCAGCATTGCAAAATATAACAAAACTACAACACATCTATAATTGGACTCATCTCAATATGACACAACAACATGACAAGGATTTCTATGACTATGTCCACACCTATACCAACCTGCCGAAGTTCTGTGAAAGTCATTTGTAATGTTCCATCATTAAAACCTTCCACCGGATTTGAATTGGCAAATTCTAAAAACAACAACGATGTGTAGATTTTGCGCGGATTGCAAAATGATAAAATAATGATGTCTCAAAATTCTCACAAGACAAACCTTCACATTTCCTCAAATCCTGGTTAAATGCTTGAAGTCCGTTCATGTTCATTTCATTCACCTACGAATTCAAGACAGAGTATCTACATCATATTTCTGTATCTATCTGAAGAGACTTGGAACTCATTAAGCAAATTCAGCCAAAACAAACAAAAAAACAGGCCTCAAATGGACCGAAAAGGCAGGTTTAAGAAAAACATTGGAATAGTAGGGAAACAACTACCAGCAAAACACAAGCAGGTTCTGCTTGTATTTTTCAGGTTGTTCTATCCCTATCAATTCGTCAGCACCTACACTGGCACAGACCTTCGAGATTATATTTAAGAAAAACATGCTAAAACTTTTAGCTAGTACGCTATTTTTAGCCTACATGGCAAATTGTCTACCCGCGGCGAAACGCCCGAAAGGCGGGCGACGCGAAGGGGGTGACGAAAGATCATTGCGCGGGTACACCCCCTCGTTCCGTTATTCCAGAAGGCATTGTCTATCGTAATTGTTACATTCTGTGTTTTACCTCAAAATCGAACAACATCACTTACACTTTCATCCACTAGGAAAAGTCTCAAGCTGTTGGCCAGATGCTTGCATGATGACATACACGCAGTTTGGGCAACATTTCCCTAAAACGAAGACATCAAAAAACAGGTTTGCTACCTTTTTAAATGCATCTGGCGCATGAGAAACATGAATAGTAAAAAATTGTCAATTAAATACAATCATCAATGATGCTTTAAAATTGACGCCGTGCATATATACAGCAATATAAGCAAAATGTTTGTGTGATGTTACTCTGAGTGTATATCCACACCGGGCAGGCTTGAAAAATATGCCTGGCCAAGGCGGGATTCGAACCTACGACCTTTGGAATACTAGCCCAATGCTCTTCCAACTGAGCTACGCGGTCAGGACGGTTCGAGTAAGCGATATTTCGGAACTGAGTCTAGTTCCTTCGATATCCAAAGGTCGTAGGTTCGAATCCCGCCGTGGCCAGGCATATTTTTCAAGCCTGCCCGGTGTGGATATACACTCAGAGTAACATAACACAAACATCTTATTCACCTGAGTACATTACACCAATAACACAGCAGATTCCATTCTAATTAATTACTATATATATTGCATGTATTTGTATTTATATTTGTCCTTTTTGTAAATAGTTTTTGTAAATTTTCAAATGTCGACGCCCCTTGTGGAAATCAACTCTCTTTGTTGACAAGGCTAGCGTCTTTAAATAAATTTTTGTATACATACATACATACATACCTAAAGATCTGTCGCATTTCATCGATCGAATTAAACTTTTCTGAGTTAAATACAATGATTGTGCAATATATTAGTCGCTATAAAAACTCCGCGAGCAACCTTGAACGTGTTTCCGGTTATCACAAAGGTAAACAATAGAGCTATTTATAGCCATAATTTATGAATTTTGCACTCCTTCATATTTCTTTTGCCGACAAGTTTTATTGCGAATAACATAACTTTAAGTATTCTACTTTAACCCTAAAAGTGTTTTAGACACCAGGTAGGTTGCACTTTTGAGAATTTTTAGTTTGAATTTTGTACCTAATCATAAGTTGTTCGGCGAATGAAAATACCGACATCCTTGGATGGAGACTAGTAGGCTTAAAATAAGATGTACATTCAAATTCTTTCAACATTCTAAAAGAAGAAGAATATGTCTCAATACGCTGAATTTGACGCGAAACTTCCCGAGTTATGATGCACAATTTAACACACATTTGACCGCCGTTTTCGGGGTCAAATTTCAGTGTCGCTGACGTCCAGACAAAAATTCGTCATAACTCAAAAAATAAGAAAAATTTAGAAATTCTAATATTAGTTTAATACCTTTTAGGACAAAGGTAGTTCATGGTAAAAATATAAAGGAAATCTAATTTTCAACCTGAAACGCTCTGCATGGTTCTTAGTGAGACAGCCACTTAAGACTATGTACACACGGTAACGTTTTCGAGCGTTTTCAGCTGTAACGTTTTCAACATAAGCGTTTTGGCGCTTTGTTCACATTGATTGTTTTTCTCGCAACGTTTCTGATCAGGCACTAGTTACCAGTTCCAATAGCTAAATTCAAACACGGTCTAGGTCTTCGGCCATTTTGTTGTCTTCTCGTTTTAAACACAAGGTTAAAGTGTGTTGTCTGTATGACTATATTAACAACAGACATATTAACAACAACAATATTAAAACATGCAGGCCTCAACCTCTGAAGCTGAAGATACCGTAAGCGAAATTACCGTGAATACCGAAGCAAAAAAGAGCAAATACAACGTCACCAAAGGCAAAGAGAATTTCGTGTGGACAGATACCGAAGTTGAGCTACTACTTTCAATCACACAGGAGTACAAAACACGGAAAACTAACGAAGGAGTTTATTGGGACAGTTGCAAAAACAAGTACAGTGAATTAAACGAAATGTTTGTGGAGAAGTTGATGCTTGTTGATCAAACCGAGGCGAGTATCCACATGAAGTAGTTGAGTTTCAACAAAATCCTGCTAGACTTTCTCGTAAAATCAAACAATTGAGAAATAAATATGCAACTGCTGTGAGAGCTGGGAAGAAAAGTGGTGGGGGTAGACAAGTTTTCAAGTTCTACGACCTCTGTCAGGATGTTTTTGGGGGGAATGCTGCAGCCGAGCAAATACCTGGAGGTATTGAAACTAATCATCATGGTCCTGAACCTATCAGTGACACAATGGTAAACCAAGAAAATGTTGAACCAAGTCAACAGGAAAACACCATACTTGATTCCGACGAGAATTGCTCTGGAGATGAATTATTTGTTCCAGCAAAAGCACAGCCAACCAAACGCCGTCACCTTATCACTGACTTAAGAAGTCAAAAATTGAAAAAGAAAATCACCACAGATCAGCAAATGATTAATATAGCCCAGAAAGAGCTTGTCCTACAAGAAAAAATGATAAACAAGATAAGTGAAGGTGAAATTCAGCAGGCCAAGGCAATAAAATCACTTTCTGAATCTGTTAATTCAATTGGTCATAGTTTATCTGAGGGATTCCGTAGTATTGCTGCTGTGATGGGTCGGTCGCATGGAGCTGTCAGTTACAACCATCGTGCAATGTCACCAGGATTCCATGTCGCTCGTCAAAATAACCCCAAATTGTTTGACCCATCTATGCCTATTGACAATGAGGATTTTCTTTAAATTAAAAAGGTCAATTGTTAACATGTTTACCACACCTAGTAAGTCTATATCTGATTTGATAGTACTTGTTTTGTTTACATGCATGCATGTGGTAGAATTTTGTAAAATACTTTGTACCGTTGTTTTGGACAAAAGTTCAAAAACCTGTTGAATGACATTTTAAAATTATTGGATAAAGTTTATTTATTTATTAATTAATTTACTTACATAATTTATGAATTATATTGTAACAATTTTATGATTTAGTTGACTTGAATTACAATTTAATGTTTATTTATTTACATGTAATTTCAATATTTACATTATCATGTTTCATAATACAATTATTCAAAAAACATCTTAAAAATGTCTCTGATGACTTTTGCCTCCTTTGGACAAGGCTCAACTTGCTGCAATCTATTTGCTGGTTGTGAATTGAATTCGTCAATGGACTCAACACCAGGTTGAGTGAATTCTTTGTCATAACGTAAAACTGCCTCAACTGTAGAATTATCTAAATTTTGATGCTTTAATTCACAATAATTGTGTAATATAAAGCATGCATAAATCAGAGTTGGGACAAACTCTAAATCAACATCAAGCACTCCCTTGAGGCAACCCCATCTAGCCTTTAATCGTCCGAAGGCACATTCAATGACCATTCGTGCAGACGAAAGTCTAAACCCGAAAAATTGTTCAGCTTCAGTTGTTCCTCCAAGTTCATACTCCTTCATAAGGAATGTGTTAAGTGGATAGGCGGGATCACCTAGCAAACAAATGGGAACGCTTGGTTCACCTTCAATAATGACTTTAGGACAAGGTGGTATTGTTCCATTCTTCAGCATTTTGCATATGGGGGAATTAACAAACATGGTGGCATCGTGGACACTGCCTGGCCATTTAATAACCACATCAATAAAACAATACTTATGATCACAAGTTCCTTGCACATTTAAACTGTAACAGCCCTTTCGATTAATGTACTCGGACGATTTTCCTTTCGGTTGTTTGATACGGATGTGAGTCCCATCTATAGCCCCAATACATTGAGGGAATCCATGTTGTGTATAAAACTGACTGGCTAGGCTGGTTATGTCATTCTCATCAGTAGGGATTTTAATGAATTCTTTCCCAAGTAGCTCTACTATAGCCAAACAAACAGACCGTAGGATTTTTGACAAAGTTGTTTTGCCAATCCCAAATGCATTTGCAACCTGAAAAGATAAAAAAGATATTTGAAGACTGTTTACTACAAATATATAATTGTCATGGGTCCAAGGGGGGCCTATATTTTGGAGCTAGTGTGAAATTTAAACATAGTGCAAGTAACCTGTATTAAACAACCATAAAGAACCATAACAACTAATTGGAACATGTCATTGCCAATGTTCAGATCATAGAAATAATAGACATAATATTTCTATGGTTCAGATGTTTGTAGAGTTCAGGGGCGTAGGAACCGGGGGGGGGGCAGGGGGGCCATGGCCCCCCCAAGTTTTGGCAAGTGCCCTTTTTACAGGAGCTAAGTGCCCTTTTTGTGCCTGAAAAATTTTCATAAAATTCGCAGTTTTTGTCCAAACGAAACTTTTGAAAACTGTAATGTAGGTTTTTTCCCGAAAAATTTTTAGTTTCCTATAAAAATATCATATATTTGTTTTTCCGGAAAAAATTAAGCTTCCTACGCCCCTGGTAGAGTTAAAAATAGGCACATGCAGGCATAGTAGGTTAATTAGTACTATGTGTATATTGTGGACATTTACACATGTATTAATTGGTACTGTGAGAGTCTATACTTTTTAAATTAAGGGATTTCTATAGCGAAACAAATTCAATATTTTGTAAATTACAAGTTCAAATTAATAGAAGAAATTGTCTGTGCCAAACAAATTGTGTGGCCGATTTTACAACACTAGTAGCAATTTTTTAATTCTGGACAAAGTCCCAAAAACACATTGTCCACATGTCCTTCAAAAGAATACAGATATTATTAATAAAAATAAGTGCTGTTGTGTTAATTAATTAACTTACCTTTCTATATTTAGATTCATCTGCTAAATAATAGAGACTGGCTGCTACTTTCGTCTCGACAGGCAAAGCGTCTCTCATGTTGGTATTTTGGCCAGCCAAACGCGGCCTCAACCTCTCACACAACTCGAAGAAATGCTGCCTGCTCATTCTAAAATTTTCCTTCCACTCTTCTGCACACGTTCGGTTGGCCAAAATATTTTCCCACCAAATGTTTGTCCGACCAGGACGGCACCAAATCCTTTTCTTACGCGTCCGACGTTTATTTAGCCTTTTCAGGTGCTTTTTTAATCGTTTTCTTGACGCATTCAGGGCTTGAATAGCATATACTTTTGTTTTTCTTGTTGAGAGAACTATTAAATTGACAGATAAAGTTGCCAACTGAACAACAAGGTTGCTCAAATTCAGCAAAATTAACATAATACCTTTAAAGTCCGCCATTTTGATTTTTTTTCGTTTTCAGGGTTTTCGGCGTTTTCAAGTGTCAAAACGACCAATTTCAAAACGTTTCAGACAGGGAAAACGTTTCTTTGGCATCGTTTCCACTACTTGAAACGTTTTTGCTTCCGGACGTCGTTTTCATACGTTTTCGTGTAAACAGAACATGAAAACGATACTTTCAGAAACGCGTTTCAGCTGAAAACGCTCGAAAACGTTACCATGTGCACATAGTCTAAGACTATGTGCACACGGTAACGTTTCCGAGCGTTTCTAAAACGTCGTTTCCAATTTTGTCAAGTTGACGCTCTGTCCACACGGAAACGTTTTCACGAGATGCAAATGTTTGTCTCGATAAAAATTCCATCTCTAGCCGCTTGTTATTACCATTTATTTTCCACCAGATAAAGTCATTACTTGTCAACGAGTTTCTTAAAATGTCCTCTGCTCATTATCATAAAGTAAACAGTTTTATATGTACTGTTTAGCATCACCGACACGAAGTCTGTCGCTTCTTCGAAAGCAAACCGCATTTTAAATCGTTCATAAATCATTACACATTTGAAAGGCTATATATTTTGTTTTATTTGTTGCTAAAGTTTTTAACTTAAGAATTAATGATCCAATGAAAGATCTTAAGCTTCCAGGAAACAAAAATATAACATTTTGATTTTAAGCCGCCATCTTGGATTTTTAGCGTTTCAACGTGAAAACGCTTGTCCAAAAACGTTTTTAGCATTGAGAACGTTTTCGTCATAAGATGACGTTTTCATCCGTTTTCGTGTGGACACGGCTTGAAAACGACACTTTTTGAAAACGTTACAGCTGAAAACGCTCGAAAACGTTACCGTGTGCACATAGTCTAAGTTTCATGCAACAAGCAATCATCAGGCAACATATTAATACGGTTAAGTTGTTGCGTTTTACTACTCGCAATGTTTGCTGACGCGTGTTCGTTTGAATCGTCCCGCGTGGAATCTGCGCGCATGCACGCATTTCATGAAAATTTCGCTACGTTTATTTAAATTAGACCGAGAATTATAACTACGGAGTATTTGCAATTTCTCTTCTAAACATAAATTGCAACTATTTCCATCGGTTTTGATTGAACTTGCTCGGGATAAGATGGACCACTTGATATTAAATTATTTTCTATTTAGTTTTAGTTTCCAAACACGTTTAGAAAGTTCAGTTTCATTCTCGTATTTAATATCATTGAATGATTTCTTGTGATTTCTGTATCTCTCCTTAAATGTTGTCGCTGTCATACCAATGTAGGTTTTTATATCGTTATTGTCTTTCGTTTTTACCTCGGCTTGATAAACTAAATCTTTCGTCAAGCATATGTTGTTAAGCGGGCATTCGTTTACATTTCTGCAGTTACAAAGTTTTTCAATGTTGTTATCGTTGGTAGATTTTTCGGATTTAGATTCTCTCACTACACGTTTGTTATGTCTCGATATGACGCTATTTACATTATTCATACAGCTATAGCTAACTTTGATCGTGTTTCAGTTGAAGATCTTATGAAGGGGTGATGTTTTGCGAAAATGTTTGTCGATTAATTTCAAGAAATCTCGGGCGACATTGGTTCGTACGTTTTTACTATACGGCGGGTTGAACCAGATAATTCTTCTTGTGCGTTTATGTTTCTCGTTTTGCGATCGACTTTCGGTTGTAGACGTTGTTTCAGCAGCTGAGTATTGAAGTTTGGTGTTGTAATTACTCTGCTTCAGGTCGTAGTCGTAAGTGGAAGCAACAGAATCAAAGGTTTTTTTGTCGGATGATAATGACGCGATTCTGCGGTTGATTGCTGCTGGGAGTTGTTTGGTGATTGATGAAGGATGGTTGGATTCTTTGTGAATGTACAGTGGGTCGTTATTTGGTTTTCTGTAGGGCTTGTATGACTCATTAGTAAGATTAAGCGTAACATCGAGGAAGTTAACAGTTTTGTAGTTTACCTCGGCAGTGATCTTCAGTGATCTTCCTGGAATGCAGAATTATTATTATTATTATTATTAATACATCATCTGCTAGTCGTAGACTGGTACCTTTGATCAAGGCTAATCCTTCATCTCTGTACAATCCGATGTAATTGCTGTCAAATCTCGCGATTAGCTTGTTTAATGCATACAAACCAACAAGTTTGCAAATTTCCGCACCATCAAAGCTCCCCATGGTGACATCAAATGTTGTAGGACTGTTTCGTTTTATCCACGGTTTGGTGGAATTGAATAAAACGGATCTGCGGGCGTGTTTGATGATTGAAACATGTTCGTCAGTAATATTAACAATAGTTTTGGCCCAAGCGATGGCTTTATCGAGGAGTTCTTCACTGAGTTCTTCTTCTCTTCTTCTTCTTCGAGCAGTTCTTCTTTTCTTTTGATAACTTTGTTTCTTTTGATATCGTCGACTACTAATCCTCCATCAGTGAAGAACTCCTCGATAAAGCCATTGCTTGGGCCAAAACTATTGTTAATATTACTGACGAACATGTTTCAGTCATCAAGCACGCCCGCAGATCCGTTTTATTTAATTCCACCAAACCATGGATAAAACGAAACAGTCCTACAACATTTGATGTCACCATGGGGAGCTTTGACGGTGCGGAAATTTGCAAACTTGTTGGTTTGTATGCATTAAACAAACTAAGCGCGAGATTTGACAGCAATAACATCGGATTGTACAGAGATGACGGATTAGCCTTGATCAAAGGTACCAGTCCACGACTAGCAGATAAAGTAAGAAAAGACCTGTGTTCTGCATTCCAGGAATTGGGACTGAAGATCACTGCTGAGGTAAATTACAAAACTGTTAACTTCTTCGATGTCACGCTTAATCTTACTAATGAGTCATACAAGCCCTACAGAAAACCAAATAACGACCCACTGTACATTCACAAAGAATCCAACCATCCACCATCAATCACCAAACAACTCCCAGCAGCAATCAACCGCAGAATCGCGTCATTATCATCCGACAAAAAAACCTTTGATTCTGTTGCTTCCAATTACGACTACGTCCTGAAGCAGAGTAATTACAACACCAAACTTCAATACTCAACTGCTGAAACAACGTCTACAACCGAAAGTCGATCGCAAAACGAGAAACATAAACGCACAAAAAGAATTATCTGGTTCAACCCGCCGTATAGTAAAAACGTACGAACCAATGTCGCCCGAGATTTCTTGAAATTTAATCGACAAACATTTTCCCAAAACATCACCCCTTCATAAGATCTTCAACCGAAACACGATCAAAGTTAGCTATAGCTGTATGAATAATACAAATAGCGTCATATCGAGACATAACAAACGCGTAGTGAGAGAATCTAAATCCGAAAAATCTACCAACGATAACAACATTGAAAAACTTTGTAACTGCAGAAATGTAAACGAATGCCCGCTTAACAACATGTGCTTGACGAAAGATTTAGTTTATCAAGCCGAGCTAAAAACGAAAGACAACAACGATTTAAAACCTACATTCGTATGACAGCGACAACATTTAAGGAGAGATACAGAAATCACAAGAAATCATTCAATGATATTAAATACGAGAATGAAACTGAACTTTCTAAATGTGTTTGGAAACTAAAACTAAATAGAAAACAATTTAACATCAAGTGGTCCATCTTATCCCGAGCAAGTTCAATCAAAACCGATGGAAATAGTTGCAATTTATGTTTAGAAGAGAAATTGCAAATACTCGTAGTTATAATTCTCGGTCTAATTTAAATAAATGTAGCGAAATTTTCATGAAATGCGTGCATGCGCGCAGATTCCACGCGGGACGCTTCAAACGAACACGCGTCAGCAAACACTGCGAGTAGTAAAACGCAACAACTTAACCGTATTAATATGTTGCCTGATGATTGCTTGTTGCATGAAACTTAAAGTAGCAACTTATTCAATTGAAAAATTGTATTAAAATATTAAATTATTATTATATGCTCTACAATTGTCTTGTATTGAGCACTCTTTATTCTTAAAAACGGAAAATTACTTTATAATATATATATATATATATATATATATATATATATATATATATATATATATATATATATATATATATATATATATAGACGAGCTCCCAGATTGCAATAATTTTAGTGAGTTAAATATTTTCACCCTGCATATTCCCAGTAAAAACTGAAAGCTATTGCATGTGGATTATATGCAAATTAGTATACTGGCAGTGGCCATGTTGTCGTCAATTTCTGGAACTGAACAATATCGCATTTTATCACTGCACATAATCTAACTAATCACTGCACGAATTTCATTTATCACTGCACAAACTGGTTATCACTGCACCTTAGAATAATCCGTGCAACATAGTATTTGCTATTTGCTGTCTCAATTTCACACCAGATGCATTCCAGATTATCATGAAAGTTCAGAGGTTTACATTTGCAATCTTCCCGACAAATTATAGCAACACCTCGTCCATTTCGACCATCACCCCGATCTTTTCTTACAATAAAATAGTTATTGGGACATACAGAATTTGATGATATCTTATTGTTCAACCATGTCTCACACACGAAGCAGATGTCAATTTCCCATGTAGAAAGTTCGACATCCAACGCCGAAGCTGCCTGAGGTTTAGCAAGAGAACGTGAATTTATAACCATGCATTTAGGTATGATCTTTTGGGCAGGAGGACCATTTCTGATGGGCCTGATAGCAATTAAATTTGAATGTGTATTTCTAATCTTGTTGGGATTATAACTTCTTGATGTTATTCTAACTGTTATTTTCAAGTTGTAAGATGTCGCTTTATTTAGTAAATGGGCGTATTACTTATTAAAATATGAACGTCTATTATATACAAGATAACCTATTAAAAATTCGTAAATAGAATAAAAATTATATAGCTAAAATCTATTGAAATGTCAATTAGCAACGAATTATAAAATCTATTGAAATGTCAATTAGCAACAAGTTCGGTAGAAGGGGATACTCTATATGGCGCGGGTCGCGAGTCAATAGAAATGGCGCGGGTCCATCGAAAATGGCGCGGGTCCAGTGAAAATGGCGCGGGTAAAAAGTTCCGAGGCGCCGATAAAAAGTTCCTAGGCGCGGGTAACAAGTTCCGAGATCAATTGCCCGGTACTTATATTCAAGATGGCGGCTGTTTTGACCGGCGCCATTTCTATTGACTCGAGACCCGTTCCATATAGACTATCCCCTTCCCGGCAGATCACAATACAGTATATCCCTGGGTGGGGCAAAATACTCGTGATGAAGGTCTGCCGTTCAAAAAATGAATTTTGACATTGTTGATTCCTGATCTACGTATCACTGAAAGCTAGGGCACGTCGTTTAAGTTCTTCATTAATGTAGGGAAGTTTCAAATAGATATTTTCTCGTTTGTCATCCATACGGAACCTCGTCCAAAAGGCTTTCGTGCTGAGAAGACCCTGGCATCGGCTAGAATTTTAATGACGACCCCAAATTTTGGTGTGTAATAAATTAAGACCACTTAATTAATGCCAATGCGCGAAATTGATTTGTGCTTCAATATTTCCTATACTTGCTGCTCCAAGACAAGGTAAATTTTATATATTTTTAATCCTCGAGAATTAAGCTATCGGAAAATGTTTGAATCAAGTTTATGCGATGAGAAATTTAGAAGTTAGGGGTCAATTTAGCAGCCGCTTTACAAAAATTTAATTGTTTACAACATGACAACAAGATTACAAATCTTAGCTTGTTTCTAAAACTTTCACCTTTGCTGTTCATAACTTATTACTTATTTTTATTTCTCAAGGATATATACAAAAGGTTTAATTTAATGAAATTTGCAACGTTTCGGACTACATTTTAAATGTCCGTCTTCTGGCGACAATTGTTGTTAACGTTATATTAAAAAATGCTGACGATTTAACTGTCAGTCACCAGTGATGTTTTCCAGGGGAACGCGGGGGAACGGCGTCCTCTCACCTTTTTACCAGGGGAACGGCGTCCCCCCTGCCAAATTCAAAAGTGGGGGAACGCCGTTCCTTCTGGCAGGGATTAAATATGAGTGAAGTTCAGTGAACACTGTTTGACACTGTACCATCCAAGTGAACACCGTTTGACATCATCCAAATAATTTTGGCATCATTTGTTCTACATACGTGTTATTTTTGGCAATAATTGCTCAGCGTCCTACGTAGACATATTTCAGAACATAATTGTTTCACTGTTTTAATCTCCTTGAAACTTGATATACTTGCATAAAATTCTAGCACAAAAATACGAGAGTCTAATAATTGACGTCGCTTAGAAAAGTACTTACCAGTCATAAGCGCGGATAACGTCTCTCGCGCAATCGTGAAATTAAACATTCAAATGAACATTAAAATGATCAATGGGGACATAAAATGATTCAATAAGAACATTAACATGATTGAATGGGAAAATTCAAGGAAATCTATTAGCTAAGCGTGTTTAGTTACTCGCGAGTCGCGAAAACGTCATATTCAATTTGCAAAGTTGCCTGTTTGCCGAGTTACTCACATAGCGCTAATAGACCTTTCCCCTTATGAGTGAAATTTTGATCTAGATAAGCCTGGACAAAAATTTCATCACAGCCTGAAAGAGCATCACAAAATTAATAATATTGCGAAGTTTTGTTGCGAAATGTTGTAAAATGCGGATAATATAGCCCTGCGAGGTTTGCCGTTTTCCAGTCATTTTGCATTACAAATGGGAAATTGATAATCAGTTTGATGATCTGATTATCAATTTCCCGTTTGTAACACCAAATGACTGAAAAACGGCAAACTTCGCAAGGCTATATATACTATCCGCATTTTACAACATTTCGCAAAGAAACTTCGGAACATTACTAATTTTGTGATGCTCTTTACTTCATTTACATTTATAACGCGTTCCAAAGAATTTTGAACAATTCCAAACTTCGAATTTTGACTCAAATTTGCAATATTTTGCGGAAATTTCTCATTTTTCTGCCAAAATACGGTATAATTGCCAAGTCAACGTAATTTTGTCCCAAATTTCAAAGAAAAAGGCGATTTCCTGCGAACTTGTGTCGAAATTGTATTGATATATAATCTTGATTTTCGCTGACAGCAATTCTTCTGGCTTACATTTTTGTTATTTTTCTATAATTTGTGCTGAGTGTGTTCAGTCTACTTCCAAAATCAATTAAAATCGAAGGAATTGGTAGAAAAAAGCTTATTTTTAATGTTTTTAGCTAATTTTCGCCGAATATTCTGATAAGTGTTCATTTTACCGCACAATACCAAACTTTTAAACAAAAAAAATGAACTGTCTGCTAAAATGCATGTGCAATAGAATAACTGGTGTAATATATAGGGGTGTCTTAATTTCAGACTCCTCTATCGCTGGAAATTGAATAAACGATCATGCAAGATATAGTTATATGAGTGTCTGAAATTCAAACACCCATATAGCTCGCAATAGAGCCTTATATTCTATTGCGAGTTATATGAGTGTCTGAAATTCAGACACACTATACGGGTGTCCGAATTTCGGACACTCTTATATTATATTGCGCGCGAGTTATATGGGTGTCTGAATTTCAGACAGCCATATAACTCGCAATAGAATATAAGAGTGTCTGAAATTCAGACACCCATATAACTCGCAATAGAATATAAGAGTGTCTGAATTTCAGACACCCATATAACTCGCAATAGAATTAGATAAGATCATAAGAGTGTCTGAAATTCAGACACTCATATGTTTTGCTGTAGCCTCCTCCGCAGACATCTCGTGGTTCACATACTTTACAATTTGTTTTGCCTGCAAGTAAATTTTGCCCGCCAATCTAAAGGCGATGCCTGCGGAGGAGGCTTCACGAGCTGCTATATTTACTTATCTGGCCTAGAAAAAAAAAGTTAGAAGTGCAAAATATGACTGAGAGTACAATGGGTCAAGAAACTAATGAAACGACAATAATGTTTTGCGGTTAATTGGTCAAAGCACATATTAGATCAGTACAATTGTGATGAGTTGGTCTTCATGCCAAATGGCCCAAATCCTTGGAGCATGGGTGCGCATAATCAACCGATTTCTCATCAGCAAATTCAAACAGAGTAACGTTATGAATACTTGCAATGCGAACTACTATATGGCGATTGACGAGTCTTTGCATGGCAAACACCTGAAATTATAGCGAAATACAAGCCTAGTCTTTATGAATACCACATAAACTGTCTGCCTGATAGCGTATTTTACTTTCAGATATCGTTGGCAATAGTTTTCAAAGATTTACTTGTCTGCAGCTTTGGATTATGGAAAACATATATAGCTTCATTAATTTCGGCTTAGTATTGCGCACGACAAGACGCGATATAAACACTTGTAGAACATTCGTTTGGCGGTATGGTAAATAAACTGAAATATAATGCCGCGCTACATGTTATCCGCAAAAATCGTCAGTTTATTATCGGTTACACAGCCCATGCTTGTATCTTTACGAGACTGTGATATGTAGCTATATAATGTACATATAGCTATCTTCGACCATGCATGCACAGCATGAATGTATACCGGAATTGGATACTCACAATACTTCTGCGCTAAAAGCTGCAGTAAGTGTAACCATGTAGCTATTATAACAAACTAGAAAGATATGAATAACGTATCGACGCGTTGAAAATAGACTTATGCCAGAGATAATTTACTATAGTTAAATCACTTAATTAAATGAAGTGTAATGCATTCGGAGGGCCTATATACACACTCCACAACGAATGAAATTTGATATAAAATCAGTGCAATTCAAGTCTTTAGAGAAAAACGTTAGTGAAGGTCTATTAAGAAAATAATAGAGCTAACATGATATGTATTGTATATTCATTGTAATTGAGTAACTGCGGTACACTATGATTAATATCGGTGCAAACCGCAAATGATCTACACTACAGTTGTCGCATTACTTCTGCAAATTGCGCGCATTAAGTTTGCAACATGAATAAAATACTATTTCATAATTCACGCAATACACAATTCATAATAAATAGAACTGCTGTATGATTTACCTGGTGGCCGTCGCTTCATCTTACTGCGGAATCTCAATTCATATCCCATAGCTCTTTGTCTGAATTAACAGTCTTTCTAATTCTCTTGTATCGGCAACATAAATTTGCAAAATAGTATAATGACCAGTCACCAGTCTAACCATATCTTAAAATTTTAACACTCCGCGGTGACAATCTATTCAAAAGGCTCGTGCGTGGGCAGACGACACAGAGGTTGCCGTCAAATATATGTTTTATTGTCAATTGTCACGTCCTGATTGGTTGAGCTTGATTCATAATCTTAATTTGAATTCTAAGTTTCCGTGCGCGTGTGTTCATATTCCAAACTCTAATCCCGCAGAATAACAGAACTAGTGTAGAAATTGATTCAATAGACATAATATCCTAGCGACATAGCGAACAACTATAGTTACTAAATGAATACAGTGTGGGTACGGATTCGCTTTGGCAATGATTTATAAAATTCGTCAAGGGATACTAATAATGTCAATGCAGGTAAATAATTTTCCTATTTATCAATATTCTAAGGGAATTTAGAAACAGAGTTTATTTACTTTTGATTCGTGTACCGCGAGTAATTTATAGAGATACATGGTACGTTGCTATTCATTTGATATCGTGCGCAAAATTTTGCAATGTTTATCTGAAACTTAACATTGATTATTATGCGCTGATTTCCTCACTCCCATGGTGCTAATGAGTTTACTGCTTGGTTTGCGCCGACATTATAATACTATCGCATTCGCATGTGCTGTGTAAACACATAGAGCTTCACCAGCATCATTCATGATATTCATAGAGAATTTATAGCTACATTGTACGGTATATCATGACTGGCCTCACACTACACCGACTTATAATCCTTCCTGTATTCATATACTGTATTATTCAGGATCGTTTGCTTTTCACAACTTGAATCGACAGTTGGACAGTGTTGATTTTAATATCTTGAATCCATTCTCTATATCCAGGGGATATAATATATATATATATATATATATATATATATATATATATATACACTGTAGGTATTCACGGGCATCATATGATATCGTGGCTAGTAAATGGCCTTTTTTTCTTCTTTGACTCTAATATACCTCACTCTAATGTAAAGCTGTTTTTAATTATGTTTATTGTTTAATTATAGCTCGTTGGCCACCGCAACTAATTTAGCGCAGAAAGATTGCCAGTATTCGTGTCAGGTAACCATTCACCAAGATAAAGATTACGTATACAAACTGAAAGGCAAAGGCCAGAGGCATGCGTGATAAAGATTCAGTCGAAGAATGTACAAATCTGTGATGGTATATTTATCATAGCTATAATATGAAATCGAACTGTCAAACCGCACAAAGATATCAGATTCAGATATATATTTATATTTAACATAGATACCTTCCAATAATTCGGCACGTTTAAGAACTCAGGCTCTATACGTATAGTTATATATGTGGTTGGAAACATTCTACAATACTGCTATTCGGCTCTAAAACATATATATTTATTTTGGACGAACAATACATCTTTAATGAATCTACGCGGCTAAGTGGGGATAAAATTTCAGTTTAATAACTGCATGTATGTAGGGATTGAAGCTTACTGTGTACTGACACTGTGCGACTCGAAGATTTGCATTTATATGCATTTTTTATTACAGCATTCCAATTTTAACTGCATTTACTTGCCTTAGTTATGATTTATCTGTAATTTTATTCCTGCTAAGAATGCCTCATTTCGATACGGATATGGAATTACGAACTGATTTGTTATAGAATATAGTTTTAAAACTACTGTACAAACAATTATTAATTTGTAGTGCAATTTTCCATCTCAGTTGTGAAACAATTATATGTAATAATAGTTTGCATTTTCTAACAAACTGACCTGGTATTTTAGGCTTTCATACCCAACTGATCAGCTGAACGAAGTGGAAACCCATATCTGTACTCTATATACTCAGAAATTTTAGGCCGTCATAATTTTCAATTTACAACAAATTTAGCTGATGCGGGCCATGCGGCTACTTTAGGCATACTATAGTTCTCAAAATAATTTCTATTTTAAAGGTAAAAAAGTTAGAATCAAAATTAAACTCACTGCATCAAATTTAGATTCATTGCGGACGGTTATAAGTTCCAAATTTGATTATAAGTTGCAGTTGCGGACAGTATATATATTTTGCTCATTGGGAAAGAAAAAATGCAATGACCCATTTTTTGGAAAAAGACCTTTACTAACGGAGAAAAATATAATTGAAAATCCCATTTTAGTTTGGAACGCGTTGACTTTTGTATTAGAAAGATTAAGGTAGTCTGAATGTCAGTTATATATCCCTATATTTTGCATCAGTTATTTATTCTGTATTGCCAGCAACTCTAATTGCATCCAAATATAGGGGTGTCTGAAATTCAGACACCCTTATATTTGGATGCATATATATAGGAGTGTCTGAATTTCAGACACCTTTTATTTGGAAGCATGATATAGCGGTGTCTGAATTTCAGACACCCTTATATTCGGAAGCATGATATAAGGGTGTCTGAAGTTCAGACACCCTTATATTTGGATGCAATATACTGTATATAGAGGTGTCTGAATTTCAGACATCCTTATACTTGGAAGCAAGTTATAAGGGTGTCTGAATTTCAGACTCTCTTAGATTTGGAAGCAAGATATAGGGGAGTTTTAATTTCAGACACTCCTATAAATACTTTTGGCGTATATATACTGTTTTTAGTGGAATCTTGCATTGACTTGATATAAAAAGGGTATTTGTGCAGACAGTCAAATTGTGTCTGCCAGAAAAAGCGAATTTCCTTAAAAAAATTGACGAGTCTGCGACTTTTTGTTAATTTCCTCAATCTGTGCGGAAAATCACAAGTTTGGAATTGTTCAAAATTCTTTGGAACGCGTTTAATGTAATATCTGAAAGAAGTCTTTCTTTCGCGATATTACAAGCCTCTTCAACTGGAACATTAGTGAACAAGCTAACTACGTCAAAACTTACCAGAATGTCATTCTTACCCAATCTAATTTGTTCCATTTTTGTTACAAATTCTTTAGAATTTACTACATGATGATCTGTTTTTCCAACAACTGGTTTCAATATCTCAGCGAGATATTTAGCCAGGGCATACGTTGGCGAACCTATGGACGCTACAATAGGACGAACCTACGGACGCAACAAAAACAATTATATTTTATCGCCATGCAAACATTCAAATAACTTAATATTTCAGTAACAATTGACCGTACGTGATTATCGTAATATAGTTTTTTTGTACACATGTGATGCTCTATCTGTCAGTATTTTCAAAGTTTTGAATTTCAAAAATTTTTAGTTTTCTCATCTATGGATGACGTCATACATACATAAAAGCAATTTTCTCGAGACCTGCATGTTTGCCGAGGTACAACATTGGTGTTTTATCATTGAAATGGATCCACTCAACATATAATGAAATCAAAATATGGTCTCCGTGGGGGGAAACGAAACTTGCTTTCCAGCTTCATTCTCATGAGTGGCTGATGGCCTAATAGCAGGTTTGCTGCAAATTGTTTTTCTCGTTTGGAATAACTTCCTAATTTTTATTCATGTACACTGTTGTTTAACTGAAGTACTCCTCAAGGTCAGGTCGTTCTTTCCAATCACATGACCTGATAATTTTGTGAACCTCGACAGGAAGATTGGGGAAAAGGTTAAGGAAGTACTCTTGGGGATCACCCACTTCATAGAATGCTTCGGGTTGCGGCATTGGACGGTCATGCCAGTGCTCCTTGATATTTCGGATAAGTCGCAAACAGTCCGTCCACGACGGCTCATAATGAAATGTGTAGCCATTCAAAGGATTAGTGCTTAAATACTTCAGAACATCGGCATCCATTGGAGATCTCCAATCTTTGGGATCGCTATTCAACTGTCGCACGACATCTGATTTGATATCACCTGTCTTGATCTCTTTTTGGTTTCCCACTTTGCAGAGCATTTCAAACTGCTGTTTCTTGGGTTGTAGATAAGGGTATTTCAGCGCTTCTTGAGCTGAAGGTCTATCTTTGGGATCGTGGCTCAGCATCCAGGATATCAAATCTTTTGCAGCAGGATCTTTCTTCAACTTGTCCAAATAAACTGGGTTACCTTTAAGTAAGTTGCGATGTCGGTCAGGTTCTTCTCCAAAGGGATGTTCACCTTGTGTCACGATGTAGAATGCTACCATTCCGGCCACCTAATGACAGAGGCAAATTGTATATGTTACAAATCATGCACTCAGATACGAAAATCCTTTCAAAGAAATTCTTGTACTGCCAGGAACAAATCTAATGTTTTGCACAGACGACTGAGACGAGCAAGTTTATTTTCTCGTGTGAATGGTCAACAAGTTTCCCTTGACAAGTTTTGTTGCTTGTGATGCACGGAATGTTGCTAGTAAACATTTATCTCACGTCAAGGCCCCCCTTGTTTGCCAAAACCACAGACATTTGGAACAAGGTTCTTTGGCATGGAAAAATTTGTTAATTTTTGCCTTACACACAAGTAAATAAAACTTGCCACTAAGGAAAATTTGTCAAGGAAAACTTGCTCGTCTGTACGGGGCTTTATGTACTGTTTAAAATACGAGAAGGAGTGCTTTATCAGATATACAAATTTAAATATTTTAAAGTCATTTATGTAAATCAGACAAATCTTTATCCGATTTACAAACATTGATTAAATATTTATTTATTTTGTATTTTCCTCATGAATTGTTATCATTTTTTAAAGTATAGTCATCTACCGTATATGAGCTACTTTTCAATCTGATTGGTTGAGGTACTGCCATGTTAGGTTATTTACCCATAACCTAACATAGCAGTACCCTAGTATATATACGTGAACTTGTAGTTAGAGGTCGACAACTGGACTCTGTAGCTCAGTTGGTTAGAGCGCTGCACCGGAATCACAGGTTCGATTCCTGCCAGGGACATGCAGTTGCATTTTTCGCAGCTGTTCCTGGTTAGGACTAATAAATGTACATGAATTTCCACTCGGTACAATTTCAATCTACAAGACCTTTCAACTATTAATTCAATCGAGTGAGATGTTGATATTTATTACACAAAATACCTGAATATCGGATTTTTTCTTGTAACGCACGTCATCATCATCAGACATGTCATTCGTAGAACACGTTTCAGCGGCTTTCCAATCTTTTGTTCCCCTCTCCTTGCTTCGAAAGGTACTTACATCTTGCGTCAAGATCAGACTGATACCAAAGTCGGCCAGCAACCATTTATCGTTGACGTTTCGCAAGATGTTGGATGGTTTCAAATCACGATGCAAAACGGGCTTTGGATCACGATGGAGATCAGCTAACCCTGTTATAACTTGCTGAATGATAGTTTGCGCAGTTGTTTTTATATCGTCCGGACTGCTGCGCTCAATAAATTCTTTCAACGTTTCCTCGCATAAGTTCATGACTAGATATAACCAGTCCTTATCGCTTTTGTTGTCAAAAAACCCGCGATATTTTACCACATGGTTTGATTCGATTGTGTTGAATTCGTTCAAAACTTTCTTTTCCTGTTCAGCTAAGCAATCGCAATCATCTCTGGAAAAACGTTTCACAGCCCTCTCATACCCATCTTTACTCAGTCCTATATAAACTCGAGTGGCGTCGCTTCCCCTACCGATGAGAAAATCCTTCGAGCAACAAACGCGTATTCCGCCGATATCCTGGATCTCTTCTGGATGCTCTTGTCCATGTTTGAACAACTTGATGAACTTTTGTCGATGAATTATCGAATTCTTTTCCCATTTCCACGATTCTGGGCTTTCTAGACGAGACATAATGTTGATATCCTGACCAAGTTGACGACCAGTATTGAGTAGACTACTAAGCTCCTTGATAGCATCTTGGACATCTTTGTCGCTGTTCAGTTCTGGGTCTTGAAGAAGCGAGGTTAAAGATGCAAACGCGTGGACTTTATCAGCATCACTTAAATGCTGCAACGGTGCACCCGCCCAATTGTTTCTAACACGTCTTGCAGCTGCTATTTTCCATCGATCAACACGTGTGTTGAACATACCATTTGTCCCGCTCGGAGACCATTCTAATACATTCAACAGTCCCAATATATCAGTAGTTTTGGCGTTGACTACATCAAGCTTTCTCGATCCCAAGGGAGTCATGAAAATCTTAGCAATCTCCCACGAGGCACCAACAGTCAACCACTGAGTGTTGTCACTGTTACTCCAGGATATTCTTTTTTTATCACGTGATCGGTGGGCATTTTTCAAGCGAGATTCCCACGCAGGTACATTTTTTGGCCAATTTGCAAGCAGTGATGTGTGGTACTTGTCAGCAGCATTTTGAGTTGCGGTTTCTAAGCCGTTCCGGGTAATCTGGATTGCTCGACGAACAGTATCCCAGTTTCTATATTCTAGATCACTTAGTATACTGTGAGCCATCACTATTTATTCTTAGCCTTGAAAAAAAGCATTAGTATATTAACTTCCTCCGCAGGCATCTGGGACATGTCTAAAGTTTCTATAATATTACATGCAGTGCGACCATACTTTTTCTATTGGGTAACCACTGTGCTATATTTAATTAGGAAAATCTGCTCCAGTGGTAAAACAGACACAGTAATTACTAGCAGCTAAAGCGCCGGAGACTGGAATCTACTTATAAGTAATAGCATAGAAAGAGGCAATCTCGTACCCAGAGCAATGCCTGTGCGCGGGCTAGGATGGCATTGGCTCTGGGGAAATTAACAACCGGAACCCCTAAATTTAGGGGTTCCGGTTTTTTGTCGGCATGCACGATTGACAAACGTTAAACCAATCACAGCACAGGAAAAATTCAATTTCCCCAGAGCCAATGCCATCCTAGCCCGAGCACAGGCATTGCTCTGGGTACGAGATTGAGAAAGAAGCGAATTAGCTGTTAAAACGTCCCGCCCGATGAGGGTCGTTTAGTAAAATTCCCTTGGGCGCCGCTCGATGAGGGTCATTTAGTAAAATTCCCGAGGGAATTTTAATACCTTGTAATATCATGATTGCGGGTATTCCCGTTGTTCTCGCAGGCCATTAAAAACCAATTAACAATAAATAATGGTATAAATTAAATGGTATAATTGTTTTCCATGTCGTTGTTTAGTTTTGGCGATTTCAGATATATTCATTTTTTCTAATCGTACCCGCTTTGACGTCGTTTCGGATAGGATTACAACTAATTCTACCTGACATGACGTAAAAGCGGGTAGGATTAGATAAAATGAATATAATGAGGTGTATATAGTTATTAGGGAGTTTACGATCTGCGACGCGGCCGGCTCAACGACGCGGTCTAAATTTTTGCTCAAGAATGAGCGCTAAGCAATTCGATTACTGTAATAAATATTTGACTCTTTCAAATAACCTTACAAAATGCTACGTTCGGCTAAAGCGATGCAATGTTTGCTGTAACTTCGACTTTTAGTAACACCTCTTGTGTTGCATTAAGCTTTCGCGTTGCCTGGAAGACGTAAAAATGCTTTTTAACGTTGTGTTGAGAATGACAACGCGATTGGCAATACTCATGGGACCACAAATTATTGACAGTTTTTGTCTTGCATGACAAATTTCTTTGTAAGTTCCTTGTGGGTTTGCATGGCGATAAAACACATAATACTATCGTTTGTGGAAACACCAAATTACTTTGTTTTGAAAGCGCGTCGTCGAGGCGGCCGCGTCGTAGATCGTAAACTCCCTAATAATTGCCTTCGGCGAGAACAAAGGGAATACCCGCAATCATAATATTACTTCACAAAACCTATTATTCGGTCGATTTATTGAATTTTTTTCGAAAAGTCAAAGTTCTAAAACGTGTTACTAAGAAATTTTTCCAAACATTTGTTATAGTTTGTTTTAATTTTTAGCTTCTCCCTAATAAAAATACAGACACCATAACTGATTATATATCTATTGAAATGGCTACCAATTTCTTGCTTTAAGTTTGCTTTGTTGGTAATATGTCGCCAAAGGTTAAGGGTTTGTGCATGTTCGATTCCTGCGAAAGGGCCTATAGTTGCATTTTTTACAACTGCTCCTGCAGGTTAGGTCACAGTGCTCCTGGTTAGGTCTAATAACTGGATAAAAATGGACAAAAACCTTCAGCAATTAATTCTATCAAGTGAGATGCTCAAAATCGTTATATTCACCCATACACCTTACATTGACGTCACCTTAGTAATTATAAACACCGCGCAAAAACAACGTTCCCTCCTAAATATATTATCATAATTTCTAGATAAATGATTACCTGACAATCAAACCTAACACTAGTTAGACTTATGGTAGTTTGCTTAAAATTACGCTGTTTGAAGAATGGGGTCATTCATGCTATAAAGAATAACTTAGCCTCCGTTGAATACGAAAATACCCAATTTCAAAATTAACAATTTCACAACATACAACAGTAAATTGTTTCATCAATGGTTTAATTACATACACCTTACATTGGGATCACCTTAGTATTTATACATAAACTTGTTGTTAGAGCTGGACGTCGACAACTGGCCTTTGTAGCTCAGTTGGTTAGAGCGCTGTACTTCCGGTGCAGGACCGCAAGTTCGATTCCTGCATGCCAGAGGCTTATAGTTGCATTTTCCCAACTGCTCCTGGTTAGGTCTAAGAAATGTATAAAAATTCTTACAAATCCCTTGAACAATTAGTTGTATCAAGTGAGATGCCCAAAGTCCTAAGAATAATTTTCCCATTTCCTGAAACATACCCAGAAGCCCTCAAGCTTGCATGTTCATGTTGATACCTTAGCTAGTAAAATAATTATCTTATATGAAAAATACATGAACAAAATGAAATGTTGAAATCATCCATTGAATATTCTGCTACCAACACATTTTATTTTAGAAAGTGATGATATTTAAAGTTTGTACTAGCTTTCACTGCAACCAGGTATATCATTCATGTTTCCGCTCGCTACTCTGGTTTAAATAAATTATTACAAAGCCCAGTCGAATTGTAATCAAGACCCATTCTCGTACCCAGAGCCCTTCTTTACCTGCGTTAGAAGGGCTCTGGATACGAGAATGTTGAAACCTCGTGAACATCCTCGTCCCCAGGCCCAAGCTCGGGCGGCCCTCACAGTGGCCCTGGTTCAGGCTGTTGAGCAGTTGATTGTGATTGGTTCTTTTGCTCTAAAGGAATGTTGCGGGTGGGAAGGAAATGCGGGTTAACAATAAACAATGGCTGGCGCGAAGAGTGGCAATTTAATAAACTTGTATTAAATTATGGTAGAAATCAGATATTTACATGTAAATTTAAACTATGGTATGGACACATTCAAGACTTCTGGAAACCAACTACATGGATATTTGAAGGATTAAACACATGTGAAAGTTGAAACGAATTGAATGATAAAGATATATATTTTACAGTTCAAGACTCAGATATCAGTCACACTTGAATTCATGCACGACTATAGAAATTTATATCTTGTGTATGCAACGTCTACAAGATTATTGTGTAAATTGTCGCCCTCCACCTATCTTTGTACTTTGTATTTGACAATTTGAAGAGTTTAATTTATAATGTAGTATACGAATTCAAAATTTAGTATTTATCAAGTCATTGATTCACAAAGTGAATGGCAGCATGTTGTTCTGCTTGCACAATCACAATGAACAGTTCACAATGGAACCAGTGTTGTTTGAGAACCACAAGCTCGATTGTTTAATACCCATGGTGAAAAGCTGGCTTTTCACACACAAAATATTCAAGGGATTTTCTGGGTGGAATTAAATTATTTATCCAAACTATTGAACTATTGGAGCAAATTTAGAGAATACAGTATGTTAAGTAATTTAACCATGGCCAGACAACCAGTTATGTGTCAAGTCTCAGAAGCATTTTAGCTACCTGTTGCTAAAGTTAATTTAACACTGTCACTGAAATATTTCAAACAAATACACCCTTCTGGAAAGTACATCACTTTGACTATTCAGGTTTTGCAGTATGACATATCATCTTATAGGAATTCCTATACGAAAATTATCCTAATTTCCTGTAGGAATAGTAAATGACACACAATGTTGTTCATCAGTCGTCACTCTTAATTTTCTAATGCAAAAAAAATTATTAATACATATCTACTAATATTACAAATATAAATATTTATACAAGAAATTGGTTATACTAAACATTACAGATCAATTATAGTTTTCACCAATGGTTTAATAACAAGTCAAAACAAAAACAATACATAACCTAAAGAAAACCATTGCAATGTACACAAGCACCAATTAATCATTCTACCTCCATGCAATGCTATATTTATTGACCTTTGTTATTAAACCATAGGTAATAACCATAATTGACATGTAAAGTTTTTTGGTTAACACATTAAGCTGCAGAGCTTCCCCATTGATCGGTAAAATTGTCTGGGACAAGTAAAAAAAAATAAGTAGGGTGCACTCAGGGATGTACACGGCCGGGGGAAGGCAGGCATATTATATTAACGATTTTTAAAATGTTATTGTTAATTATTCTTTGGATATTTGGGACTTTTTTCAGTATATAGGCCTTCTGGTGAAAAAATCCTGCGTACGGCCCTGAGTGCACTGGGGCGCATTGTGGCTCAATGGGTTATAATTTGCCTCAAAACATAGTCCTCAAATAAGTTATTGACTATTCTAGTTCAAAACAAGTGACAAGTCACTTGTAACATTACTCAATAAATATTTTTATATATCAAATGTTTTTTTAATATGCCCCTTTTACAAATTATTTGCTGGGCAATAATATTTTTAATAACTAGCTTGGTGTTTCTGTTTTTGACTATTGTTCTTGTTTGCCTTTGTGCACTTTGCAACACTTTACAGTGTTGTTTTTTGTCCTCATGTGTTGGCAAACCTCTGAGGCCTTACATCCATACTTTGTTGATACATAAACTGTAAAAAGACAAATAAATTTATTTAAATGAGGTTACATAGTAACCAAGGTTAATATCGTAGGAACCGCGCGCAGTCTGGGTATGACAGGTGCCCTCAGGATATCGGATATAGAGAGTGCCAAGCAGACTCACAGGTCACTAATTCATAGCCAACTGCAATAATAATCTGCTTAGAAAAGCTAAAATTTTTTTTTTCATGACTGCAATTGACGTTCGGTTTAATTTCCATCGAACAGTTAGTTTGGTATGATAAGGTGCAGACGTTCGGTGGTCAGGTCCTGAATGGACAGGTTCACATGATTCGAACCTGAATCCAAGTAACTCAAATCTGTAGATCATCAGCTGACCACATCTGCACCTAACCATCCACACGGGTAAGTATGGTGACGACAGATATTAATAATGCATACCATTTTGATAGCTGCTGATATTAACAGAAAAATAAGGGAAACATTTCCCCAAGACTCCAACATGGCAAGTAGTAAGTACACTTAATAGTGATTGCTTGATGCTAATTATATTTTCAATAAACTTTCCAACCAGTTGGTTTTTAGGCAAGGGGTCTATTTACCGTCTATACATATTTATACGTATACAAAAATAACAAAAATAAAATGAAGTATTTTTAATACACACCTTTCATTTCTTGATCATGATCATCATGGGCATGGCGTAAAACAACTGCCTTAACACCCATGTCAGTTTTTAGCTTGTCTATTTGGTCGCCCATCAGTGCATTTAACGTGGAAATCACGATTATAATTGTTTCTGGCCACACGGCAGAAATATTTCTTTTTCTCGAATTTATAATATAATCATATAATGTAATCGAACATGGACGGTAAAAGTTGGTAAATCAACGATTTAACTTCCCTTCCATTTACTATTTGACGAATAGCATCTTTCTGCTCTTCCTTTAACTTAATTTGAGTATTATTTGTTTTTGCAAGTGCAAAATATATTGCTTCTGCCTTCCTCGTACAGTTGCATTCATCGCGGTCGCCATGTTTTTAAGGAGAAATACATACGCTGTGCGACCAAGCCTCTGCGTCGGAATTCAGCTGCAGCTCAACAGCCTGAACCAGGGCTACTGTGAGGGCCGCCCGAGCTTGGGCCTGGGGACGAGGATGCTTCGTGAAAAATTAACGTAGTCCCAGACTCCGACCATTGACTCCGATGCACATAAATTTAATAAGACGGCAGGGTGCCAACTTCGATTTTAAGCTATTTAGCTGCACCTTAGTAAACCAATATTAAGAATAAAGACACGATGAGAGTAGAGATATGCCTGCACAGAAAGCTATCTTTATTTTAGTTACTCTGAAATCTTTCTCTGTAGTCTTCCATTACGCAGAGGGGGCCTTGAAGAAAAGAACTAGTCTTTGTACATATAAACTATAGAAGTATACAAACTATAGCAAATTGCCAATTGGCTGTAGGAAACCTTTACGTTATAAAGCAATTTTCCTGAAATTAACCCACTTATAATCTTTAAATCAAGAATAAATTACTATATAAAATGTCACATTACGACGAGGATGCCGAGACAGTATAGTAAAGTCGCCACTTCAATTTTTATCATTCAAAATTTTTCAATAACGAAGACAGTCGCAATATCTGTGGTCAAATTAAGTACTGACAAATACAGCTCACAATACTATATAAGCACATAAACCTACCTTCCAAGGATTCTGCACACATTTCATGGCAATCTTAATGTCTTTGTGGTTGAAACACTTTGTTGAAGTTCGCTTTTAATAAGCGATCGTCTCTCCTATAAAGGTCTGATGCCACGACGACGAAATTCGTCGCGAGAAATTGCGTATGCGGAATACAGATGGTTGCACACGAGTGATTCTGTTGAATGTATTGAATGTATTCAAAATTAGAAATGCCAGCTATTTCGAAAAGTATCAGTTATAGAGTGCCACTATAGACACCAGCCCCAAATACGATATTGGGAATGGTGTAATGTTTGGGATATTCTAAATATCTTAGAAATGAAATATATCTTTCAGGGGTGCATATAATTACTATTTGCTCCCCTTCTCGAGGTGGTAAAGAGTCAGGGGGTTGAGGAAAGAAATTGACCCTTTCGGGAAAGGAAGAAATTCGCAAAAATGAGATTCTCAATCAGATGCGTTTGATATACCCTGTTAACCAATCAGATGCGTTTGATATATCCGATTAACCAATCAGATGCGTTTGATATATCCGATTAACCAATCAGATGCGTTTGATATATCTGATTAACCAATCAGATGCGTTTGATATATCCGATTAACCAATCAGATGCGTTTGATATATCTGATTAACCAATCAGATGCGTTTGATATATCTGATTAACCAGTCAGATGCGTTTGATATACCCGATTAACCAATCAGATGCGTTTGATATATCTGATTAACCAATCAGATGCGTTTGATATATCTGATTAACCAATCAGATGCGTTTGATATATCCGATTAACAAATCAGATTCGTACTAAGCCAGTGAGAGTGAGAGGTAGCGGTAGTGGAAGTGAAATCTGAACCTCTTCAATGACTTGATCACGCCCAGAACAGTTGATTAACAACAGACAAGCTTGATCCGTTTGACGCCGCTGACAGCTCGCACCAACATTCCAACATACACGTGGTTAACTTAATGTTAACTTTGTACAAAACCTCATTGATTTACAATGGTTACAATTTCTGGTTGAACGTCCGGGTTAACTTGTGCAAATAACCCTATTTGGGTTCTTTTCATATTCCTGGGTATTTTTCCTGATTATTTTTACCGTATTGCTTAGTTAATTTGACCAGGACTTCCTGGTTCTGATTTGGACATCAATGTTAAAATTACCTTTACTACACTTTCAATTATGGCACCCATAAAGATCACCAGAGAAGCGGTCGCGTTGGGTAACAGCCTGTCATTCGAAGCGATAACTTTACTTGTTCTATTAAGGACAGCTATATTTGCAGTTTGCATTTTGTGGGCCACTTGGTTAAACTTCACCGAGTCCCACCAAAGATAAAATTGTCCACAATGATGACTGTGAGTCGCCCACAAGAGAAAATGCAACACAGGTATTTATCTCAAATTTACCATATTAAATTGCAGAATAGAGCATATTTCTCATCACATTGCGTAATGTATTTTTCTACAGTGTGTCCCAAAAAAAGGCTACCCTTTGAAGTCAAGCGCTAGTGCCGCATGTTCGAATTTGAATGCTTTAACTCCCTAATGAGCCCTGGAATGCGTAAAACGTTATACTGTACGTAGTCAATTATATTCATGCATTCCATTCTGTGTTATTTTAGCGGAACAAATTTCAATTAATTTGCAATGCATGCATAAAAATGCTCTGCTATAACGTTTTACGCATTCCAGGGCTCATTAGGGAGTTAAAGCATTCAAATTCGAACATGCGGCATTAGCGCTTGACTTCAAAGGGTAGCCTTTTTTTGGGACACACTGTATAGGGCTAAGATTGGTAAAGTGTGAGTATTTAAGTACCTTGTTGGTAAATTATGAAAGGTAGTCAAACAGATAAAATTCTATTTTAGACAAAATTCTGTTTAAAAAGTGGGGAGGGGGTGGGGGGTGTGGACCCACCCCCTGTCCCCAGAATTTACACTACTCCTCTTTATAACTAACCAAAAATCAATCTTTTCCCATATATATAGCCATCAAAATCATAGAATTAAGTATTTTGTATCTGACAATGGACATTATATGAATGTAGCCTGTTTTATATTTGCGTTATTTGATTACTAGACATTAATTTCTGCAAATGATATTGTATTATACACCATCAAATGCTACAAAACTCAAAAATGCTTTGCCGAAATCTGTTTATGCGACTAGTGGAAAATAAGGATAAAACTTATCATTATACAACTAAATTCTAAAATATATATATGCTTACAGTTTAAATTTATTTATTATAAAGGAAGGCCCTTTTAAAATTATAACTATTAATACACTCACATTGTAGGATTGTCTGGATTTTATATTTCGTACATTCAGGGGCGTTGGAAGCAAAAGGGAGGACTTTTTAGTTGGGGGGGGGGGCTTAAATATCTTTGCTCCCCTCCCCACTTTTTAACAATGGTCTATAATAAACCACAAAGTTAATTGACATTATTTCAGTTAGGCCTCTAGACAAAACAATTTGAGATATTTTATGACATTTTGTTACCTTTAGACTCTGCAAATCTTCTTCTAAAGTGCAGGAAATGGCATTTCAGAGACTCTAGTTTCAAATTTTCCCAGAAGGAAAGGGAAATCATTAAAAAAAATTGAAATAATTCAAAGAAATTGAACAAGAAATACATCAAAGTACATATGTATGTTAATTAAACAACATATTTTAAAGTTTTGTAATGAACCAAGAAAGTCGAGGTACCATTAGCCTGTGTACAGATTCAATCCAATTTTTTTAAATGCCAACTTGAGTTGAATTTTCTATGGTACCCCAGCCTGTGTGCAGATCAACTCAACCTGAATTTTGTAATTCTCAACACAAGTTGGCATTTTAAAAGTTTGAGTTGAGTCTGCACACATGCTAATGGTACCTTAGCTTCCCTGGTTCATCACAAAATACTTTGATGCATTTCTTGTTCAATTTCTTTGAGTTATTCTTTGTTCTTTTGAACTCTCCCACATCTTCTTTTCAATGTACTAAATATAAAATCCAAACAATCTTTGGACAATCCCACAATGTGAGTGTATTAATAGTTATAATTTGAAAAGGGCCTTCCTTTATAATAAATAAATTTAAAATGTAAGCATATATATATTTTAGCTGTATAATGATAAGCTTTTACTTATTTTCCACAAGTCGCATAAACAGATTTCGGCGAAGCATTTTTGGTTTTGTAGCATTTTGTTGGTGTATAATACAATATCATTTGCAGAAATTAAAGTCTAGTAATAAAAAAGAACGCAAATATAAAACAGGCTATATTCCTATAATGTCCATTGTCAGATATAAATTACTTAATTAACTCTAAGATTTTCATGGCTATATATGTCGGAAAAGATTGATTTTTGGTTACTGTTATAAAGAGAGGTTGTGTAAATACTGGGGGATAGCCACCCCATCCACTTTTCAAACAGAATTTTGTCTAAAATAGAATTTTGTCTGTTTGACTACCTTTCATAATTTAACAACAAGGTACTTAAATACTCACACTTTACCAATCTTAGCCCTATAGAAAAATACATTGTGCAATGTGATGAGAAATATACTCTATTCTGCAATTTAATCATCATTGTGGACAATTTTATTTTTGGTGGGACTCGGTGAAGTTTAACCAAGTGGCCCACAAAATGCAAACTGCAAATATATTTATTATTATTATTATTATTATTATTATTATTATTATTATTATTATTATTATTATTATTATTATTATTATTATTATTATTATTATTATTATTATTATTATTATTATTATTATTATTATTATAATAACGAACTAATGACTGATATTGACTCGAAGCCACTCCACCCAAGAAATAAGCTTCTCGTATACAGTCGTTATGTCTTATCCAAAATATCGTGGCATTTCACCATCGCAACACTTTCTAAAACATGGGTTATTGAAAATATTGATCCCGTAGTCAACCAGTACATCCGTAAATGGCTTGAAATTCCAATCTCAGGAACACTAAGTACTGTTTTTCTAACTCGCAAGAAATTTGGTCAAAGTATTTATCCTCCATCGGTGAAATTTATCCAATGCCAAACAGTTCTTCGAAAAGCTTTAAAACTTTCTCCATATCAATCAATCAACGAACTGTGGAAATCGACTAATACTCATACTAATATCCAATACGACTTTTATAACTCAACCAAAGAAGTGCTTAAAGACTTTCGGTCTGAACATGAAGATAAACTCCAAAATCAATTAACTTGTCAGGGACCCTTTTTCTCTAGTGTAACAAAGTTCTCCTTGTCGCATCTTAGCAAAGTGTGGTCTACTGCTCAATCAAAACTTCCGAAAAACATTTATAACTTTACCATACGCTATATCAATAACTCTCTTCCGACACCACGCAAGAACCTTAGCAGATGGGGATTGTCTTCAAGTTCAGAATGCTCCTTTTGTCTTGGCCCAGAATCATTATTGCACGTGGTCGCTGGATGTCAGTGTTATCTCGATCGATTTACGTGGAGACACAATTCAATCTTGAACTTCCTTGCCAATACCTCGCAAACTGTGAACGGTTCTGCCCTCTACGCTGATGTGCCTGGATTCAAAAGTCCTTCAATAATAACTGGTGATACGTATCGCCCGGATTTGTTGCTATCGTTATCAAATGGCTCTCTTTATGTGGTCGAGCTCACTGTTGGCTATGAGACAAACCTCGAGAACAACGTTAATCGGAAAAAGCCAAATATAAAGAACTAGTAAAACAACTAGACGAAAATTTTAACGAAGTAAACTTTATAAATCTTTCTATGAGCTCCCTAGGTATTTTTGCGCAAGAATGCTCTACATTCTTAGAAATGTTAGGAAATGTTGGTCTGGACAAAAACTACCAAACGGACTGTGTTTTGCTGCCGAAATAAGGAATGGGAAAGTCCGGACTTGTTAATTACTATTTGAAATATCTGATTGTCTTGTATATTTATATATTTTCATGTATTCTGTCTTATCATTTTTATTAGTTCATATAGTTGTGATTCAAATAGTCAATTGTAAGTTACCTTAAATTAGTGAGATTTACAATTGTATATATATAGTATATAACAAAATTATTAAAGTTTCCATTATTATTATTATTATTATTATTATTATTATTATTATTGTTATTATTATTATTATTATTATTATTATTATTATTATTATTATTATTATTATTATTATTATTATTGTAATGACGCAATTAAATGTTGTAATGACGCAATTAAAACAGAAGCATCCTGAGCCACAACCTGCAAAGCTCGGATCGGTATTATTTGGCCCGCTCAATGACGAGATACCCGAATCTATTTACTCACAGATCAATGGTGAGATGGTTAGACAAGCCGCTTTGAGAACAAAGGGATCAGGAGGCCCGTCGGGTGTCGATGCCAACGGCTTTAGAAGAATGTTGGCATGTAAGTCCTTTAAGCAATCATCTACGAGACTGTGCGAAGCTATAGCCAGAATGACCAATACTTTGTGCACACAATATATCGATCCTACCACTATTGAAGCATTGATTGCTAGTCGTTTAATTCCCCTAGACAAAGGCGAAGGTGCGGTAAGACCTATCGGAGTAGGAGAGGTAATAAGGAGAATAAGTGCAAAATGTGTTATGAGCTTTGCAAAGAAGGATGTTGTGGAAGCAAGTGGATCGTTACAATTATGCGCCGGGCAAAAGTCTGGAAGTGAGGATGCAATACATGCAATGAACACCCTGTTTGAAGCTGATGACATTGATGCTGTTTTACTTATTGATGCTTGCAATGCATTCAATGCACTCAACAGAACTGTGGCTCTGCATAACATCCGTGTGTTATGTCCGATAATCGCTGCCTACGCTATAAACACCTACAGACAGCCAACTCGGCTGTTTATTGTTGGCGGCAAAGAGATTGCCTCAGCAGAAGGAACCACACAAGGAGATCCTTTGGCAATGGCCTTTTATGCGATAAGTACCCTGCCTTTGATCACGAGTCTACAGGCTGCTTCTACCGTGAAGCAGTGTTGGTTCGCAGACGATGCGAGTGGAGCTGGTCGTGTGACACAAATCAAAGATTGGTGGGATGCATTGGATACTCTTGGTCCAAACTTGAGATATTTTCCGAAAGACGAGAGATGCTGGATTATTGTTAAGCCCGAAAAGGAAGAAAGTGTGAGAGAAGTCTTCCATGGAACGGATATCAATGTAACAGTGCATGGGCAGAAACATCTGGGAGCAGCGCTAGGTTCACGAGAGTATCTGGAGGAATATGTTAATGAGAAGGTCTCTAATTGGGTCAACAAAGTGACAGAATTAGCCGAATTTGCACTGTCCCAACCAAAAGCGTCCTATGCCGCATACACATTTGGTTTGAAACATCGTTGGACCTACTTCCTAAGAACCCTGCCAGACATCCAGGACCTACTAGAGCCACTCGAAAAGGCAATATCGCAGATTCTCATCCCAGCTATCACAGATCACCAGCGCAATCCACTCGGTCGGGACATTCTAGCACTTCCAGCACGCCTAGGTGGCCTGGGCTTGGAAAATCCAAGTCATGAGGCAGAACGTCAGTATGTGTCGTCAAAAAGAGTGACAGCACCCCTTGTTGATCAGATTGTAGCGCAGTTCCATCAGCTACCCGACGAGTCGCATATAAAATCAGCGCAACAAGCCGTTATAAAAGAAAGAGTGCAAGAGTAGGAGGAGAGGGCAGAACGTATTAGAGAGAGTGCACCACCAAGAATTCAGCGTATATTAGATGTGGCTTCGGAAAAAGGATCATCTTTGTGGCTCACAGCACTTCCCCTAAAAGAGCAGGGATTCAACTTGAATGAGAGAGAATTTCGGTACGCCGTAAAGCTGCGCTATGATTGGCCAATCGACGACATCCCCTCCATATGTGTATGTGGGGATACATTCATGGTCGACCATGCCATGATCTGCAAACGTGGAGGCTTTGTAATTATGCGCCACAATGAGTTAAGAGATCTGGAAGCGGAACTCCTCAACATTGTCTGTAGTGACGTCCAAGTTGAGCCTGTCCTACAAGACATCTCGGGAGAGCAACTAAATGGAGGCTCGAACAGAGCACCTGATGCTAGACTCGACATTCGTGCTCGTGGGTTCTGGGAAAGTCAACGATCAGCCTTTTTTGATGTAAGGGTTTGTCATCTCAATGCTGATTCGTACAAGGACCTGGAGCTACGCCAAGTCTACAAGATACACGAAAACGAGAAAAAGCGCCTATATGCAAGGAGAGTGCACGAAATAGAGCAAGGAACATTTACGCCACTCGTATTAACCACCACAGGCGGTATGGGCAAAGAATGTGTGAGATACCATAGTCGATTGGCAGAGTTGGTAGCCATGAAGAAAGGCGAAGATTATGCGACAACTATGAGTTGGATATAGAGCCAGAACCTCATTCGCTTTATTGAGATCGGCACTTACCTGCTTGAGGGGTTCAAGGGCAAGGAAAATCATGTATGATATTAAGAACATTGATTTCAACATTGAGAACGCCGAGAGTGCTATCTCTCAAACATTTTAGACTGTACATATACAAAGTTTAGTTGTTTAGTTATTTAGCGGAATATCTTAGTTTAGTTATTTAAATTATTAAATTAAATTATTACTTAGCGGTAAATATTTTAATTATGTAGCGGTATATGTTCCAGAGTTTGTTTTTAAAATTTAACTGTACATATCAACAAACATTTAGACACTTTTTTAATTATACCCAAAGAACAGATTATTTAATATAGTCATTGATAACAAAAGAATTATTGTATATAATGAAATGATGAATAAAGTTGTAGTATTATTATTAGTTGTATATATAAGCTAAATATGCATTTAATAAAGTTTTCATTATTATTATTATTATTATTATTATTATTATTATTATTATTATTATTATTATTATTATTATTATTATTATTATTATTATTATTATTATTATTATTATTATTATTATTATTATTATTATTATTATTATTATTATTATTATTGTTATTATTATTATTATTATTATTATTATTATTATTATTATTATTATTATTATTATTATTATTATTATTATTATTATTATTATTATTATTATTATTATTATTATTATTATTATTATTATTATATCACTCTTATCGGGTTTGTTATACTGGGGGGCTTAGTCACCCACTTTTACTTCTGGGCGGGGGAGGGGGGGGGGGAGAGGCTGTAGCTCCACTAGTTCCCTGTTCCGCCGGCCCTTATAGATATCTTATGAAAAAAGTGTTAGCCCAGATTACGTATTGAGAAGGTGTGAACTGGTGTCCATAATGAAGACGTCTATTGTATCTTCGCGGTGAATTATCGCGAATAGAGTAAAAAAATCTTCAGTGTTTTCGACATCTGGCATCTTCGAACAGGATCGTGAGTTTATTAGAGAAATTATACTTGTGTTTACTGTGATTTCAATCGAATTTGGCTTCAAATTTCCAGATGGAGGTAGCGTTTTCGCTGTATCCATATTCATGACTCGTTCCCATACCTCACGATAAAAAATAAGAGGCGAAAAACCACGGGAAAATCATGAAAAATACGGAAAAATTACTGACGACGTGACTCCTGACCAACGGGAAACAGGTTCTTGTCAAATCTTGTGGGTACCCCCCGAAAAGCCTCCCCCAGGGGAAACCACTGACTGGTGCAATATGGTCAGCGCCGTAAATTTGTGCTAAAGGATCCCCGGCTTTAATTGGAATAGGTCCCTGGTCGTGGCTATTTAATAATTGAGACAGGGGAGGGAGGGGAGGCTACGTCAAAACGCGACGGCGGAGGGAGGGTGGCTACGTGAAAAACATACATCATTTGCTGAAATACTTCAACTTCGCCACTTTGTCACCCTTGTCCAGGGGCCTCCTGATTGATTTGGACCCCTGGCTTGAGCCAGGCGGCGCTCCAATGAATTACGCCAATGATTATGGCGATGAATGTACTTGTCAAACATCACACGTCCAAAACAAAACAATACTGATCAATTTCAGCTACAAATATTGAAGAATATATGGGGGAACAAAATGGAATTGTTTTTGTGGTGCATACTCTCATATTTTTTTCAAAACAAGAATAAATTCGCGACGTTCTAGCTTGGACGTGAAAACGCACTAAATGCCGTCCTAAACACAGCACGAACGGCATATAGTCTAAACCAGAGGTAAAATTCCCACATTTCACGCCATTTTCACGTCTTTAACGCTAACCCAGGTTTAAAATTTAACATGCTGTTTTGCTTCGAGTACATTTGCACTTCTTTTTATTTCAAAACTTTGGGGGGGGGGGGGAACTTATATTGATCGAGACATGAATTGTGGAAAAGTATGTGCATGTTTCTAAACAGGTTGTTGAGATGGTTTCTCAGTTGAAACATTCGTTAACCTATAATTAAGGTTACAGAACACCTTTGAGTATTAATTTTGCCTAAAATTTTTTTATTGGTTTCCATGAAAGCATTATATTAGTTCTACTATCTGACCAAGTTTGAACGAAAAATGTTCAAAACTCGCAGAGTTATTTAATAAAATACATTTCGCTGCAATAAGAAAAACATTGAAAATGTAATATTCAAATTCAATTTTCTCCCGAAGAATTTTACGGTAATTACTGATTTTCAAACGAGTTGTGCTCCTGCGGGTTTTAACCAATCTTTCTTAAATTTTCACAGCACATAGCTAAAGACGTTAGTTTCAAAATTGTGTTCGGCTTTTTTTTTAATTTTGGATATTTTAATAATAAAGAGCAATTCACTCAAACAATTCAGAAATATATTGCAGTCGTCAAAGAAACGCCATATCAGCGGAATGACGAAATAAACAAAAATTTCCGATCACAATTTTTTAGAACAACTTTCTTACTGTATAAAAATGATATTTTCATAAATATAACTTAAAACCAGCAGGAGCACAACTCAAAAGCGTAACGGTACCGCGATTTAAGATCTTCCTGAATAATTCTTACATTATTTTATTGTTTGTTAATTTTACAACTTTGCCATATTTTGCATGCACTGGCGAACATTTGGTGAAAATTTGATTAAAATCGGACTGATATTGAGCGGGCAGTAGCGATTCTCCGCAAAACGCCAAAAAGTGTGTCCTGTAACCTTAAGCCAACCGGCTTTCCAACAATCGGCTCCGGATATTTATCATAAAATAGTTATTTTCCTTGCGTTGCGTTCCCCCGCAGCTCTAACACTCATCAATGCGTGGGGATAATCAATTGTTAGTTAGTCTCACATAAATAACACATGAACAGAAACACGTATCTTAAAATTTCTTAAATGTATGAAATAACATTGTATTCTGACAATGCATACTTTGCTGATGCGAGTTGATAATTTAGAACACAAAAATACTATTTCTCGGTGTTTTCCGCGGTCGTATTTTTACATTTTTACCTCTAAAAAATTCATTCGAATAGTAGGTGACGGTATATTCTCGTTTGAGAGGGAGGAGGACTACACCCTCTTTGCCAAATCCATATTTTCGAAAGAATATATCTCTCATATTTTGAAGCAATTACTTAATTTGCATGACCTTAGCTTACTCTAATAAACCTGTAAATCAAAATCAAATATCCTGGTTCACTCTTTGTTTAGTCCCAAGCAGTCCTCGAAATGTCACAGTGATTGTTGAAGGAAATGCTCTTGATGTGTTATGGATGCTACCAGAATATCCACATGGTAAAATTAAACATTATATAGTGTGGTGGAGAAGAAGTAATAGAAACGAAATTTATATGAAGGAAAATGTCACCTCAAGTCCTTTCATAATAAAACATTTAGGCAAGTATTAAGTTATAATAGTTTTGTTTGTGGAAACACCACGTAAATTTATGCTATTTAAGTATTAAGTTACTACTATGCTTGTCCATTGTAAAAAAACATCATAGTTAAAATATTATCCCAAGTTTAGAAAAAGCGAAGCCGAATTTCATGACAGTTTCTGCAAATCCGATGTCTGAATCCAAGTCCCATTTTATTTGTATCGAGGTTCAATTAGTCATTCAAATCGGAATCGAACTAAACTATTTATTTCATTTTGAATAAAATCTGGCATGCATCAAGGCCGGCGAGAGGGGGGGGGGGTGGCAGAGGGTGCAAAATACCCGGGGCCCGGAGTGCTCAGAGGGGCCCGGAAATCGTCGTGATCGATCGTAAAACGTACCAAATGTGAAATAGATGATTTTTCGATCGTTTCCTCAGCAAAAACAGTTAGCTGCACATCGTTCACATTGCGTTTTTATCAGTTATGCGGCGATTTCTTGCAAGTAATTCGCTGGTAATTCTCTCGTTGATTGCGATTAAAAATAGACTTTGGCGTGGCCATGCGCCAGCGGGAGAGTCGAGGGGGACAGGGGGCCCGTGTTCAGCAATTCGTCATTTTTTCCGGGGGCCCGTGGTTGGCTCTCGCCTTGGCATGCATAAATTTACATAATCATCATAATTTTATTTTTGTGGTGCCTTTCAGCGGAATTCCATTTCGGAAAATCTAGATTTCAAAAGTTTCTCGTAGGGGAGAATCCCCCACCACCCCTTAAGTCGGTCTAATTTATTGAATAAAAATTCAAAACTAAAGGACGCACTCCAGGTGACTGTACTAAATGTTCATGAATATTAACACCAGTTTTAATTCTGTAAATACTATGGCTTCCCAATCAAACAACTGGACATGCTGTTTAACACTTTAATTATGCCTATAATCACTTACGGCATAGAACTTTGGGGAGGCGCATACTTCAATAAATACATTAGTCAAACAGACAAATTCATCAATCGCGCTCACAGAAATGGTTACATATCGGAAAAATTGAATATTAAGGAGATAAGCATCAAAAGGGACAAGAAACTTTGGGATAAAGTAATACATAATAAAGATAATGCACTACAGGAGCTTTTACCAGATAAATTAAATAGACACCTTAGGCCAAGGGGACACGAGTTTGAACTTCCATTAGTGAGAACAGAGCGATTTAAAAGTTCTTTTGTAAATCGATGTTTGTTTAACTTTGTTTAACCAATTTTAACCTTTACCTTTTTAACATTATTGATATTTTTATCCATAACTGTATATATCTAGTTATTACCTTATAGATATCAATAATTTTATCTTATATATTTTTATAATGTAAACTCACAGACGGGTGTTCTTGAGTATGAATAAAGACTGTTATTATAGCACTGAGCGTACGGCGACGAATATCTTTCACAACGGAAAATCACTAGAGAAGTTGTAATTTTTCCTGGCCCCAAAACGTTTCGGTGCGAATCTTACGGTACAAATTACTTTACTCTCTGTATTCTGGTTTTAGAAAAATTCACGTCTTATTCAATCAAAATTCAGGCCGTCAATTATGTTGGAATTGGAAACAGTTCAGCCCCTGTACTTGCTCAAACGACACTCGCCGAGCCGTTCGACGATAAAAGCTCAAACGCTGGTGCTACCGCAGGGGCAGTGATTGGGGGAATACTTTTTGTTATTCTGTTGTTGATCGTTCTGTTTCTTCTGCGAAGAAAAATCTTGAAAAGACGGCACAATGAAGCAGTAACGGTAAGAAAGAAGTTTATATGCTTTTATTATAATAGAATAATATTATAATAATAACACCATGAAGTTCCAATTCCACATAATAAAAGAACATTTCGATATATCTCCCTAAGATTTAGTAATTCACAACGGCCACCAACAATAACCACAACTATAATCTGATCTCTTGTATTTGTCTGTCTCAAATAATCCCCAATAATTTTCATGGTACTGAGCGCATATGCCCTTTTGTGCTTGGTGTGGGAAATTGGTACACTATAATAATCACCAAAATAGTTGTATGCTCAGCTAGCTATACTATCATTACATGCAACTAGGTTGAAATATATTTCTCCTTGTTTTATACCTGACAGGTACCATTAACCAGAATTAATACTTTTGAAAGGCGAAACATATTAGTTTTGAAATGTTTCGGGAGTAACGTAACTTTCAAAATTCTATTTCATGACTTGATCGACAAATGAAGTAATGCTCGACATGCACATGACAGAAATATATCGGCCTATCATCAGCCAATATACATAAGGTTACTTTAAACAAAATTATGGTCGATCTTTCAAATGAGACAAAATAAATATTTGTTGTCATGTTCACCTGTATACATCATGATAAATTATGAGAAAATTACCTTCAGTATAAATTGAGCATGGAGATTGCTCATCTTATCACAGGGATTTCAAACATGGCATTTAAGTCGCATGGATGGACAAGAGCCAGAGTCAGAGTCACAAACAGGTTGGTCAAATTTGATCTAACTGCATGGGTACATATTTTTGTATCAATCTTTATAGTGCAGATTTATCTCAACTACAATAATGTTTAGGTTATTGTTTGAATTACAGTTGCTGATTTAGTTACAGTTCCACTTAAGGTGGCTCCCTACAGTTAAAGAAACAGCAGCGAAAAATAAGGTCTTCATAATGACGCAAAATATTTGCTATTTATGTGGAAAGGGGATTGTTTTGGAAGTAGAAATGCTTGCGTAATGATTATACTTCAAGCATAATCGTTCTAAAGAAGCAAATGTGTGTTACTATGGTAACGACGTGGCCTAAGTGACAGCAGACAAAGATCACATTTTGGACTAAAAATGAATTTATTGACATTTCCTTCGGTGAAAGTTTCTGAAATTTTGCAGGTGTAAAGGGAACATCTAGCGGAAGATTATCTAAAAATTTAAGGGGGGTGGTATAAATTCAATTTTTGAGATATTTCGCGAAATTTGTTCCATAAAAACTGTTTTATAGAATTTTTTTGAAAATTGAGTATGTTGTAATAAATTACTAGTACTTTTAAAATTTCAGATTAATTGACCGAAGGAAAAAAAAGGTTATTGCATTACAAACCTTGGGCAGTCATATGGAAAACGTGACAAAATTTCAACTCGATAAGACACTTCATTGCGTCACCAGTCCCATGCCACCTTAAAGTTGCATTTATATTTAGGGTTAGAGTAACATTTTTATACTTTTATTTACTTACTTTTTCCACATATTAATAACTGTTACCGCTATAAGTACAGTTACAAGCAATTGAATTTTGCTGAAGACGAATATATACACGTGTCGTTGAATATTGAATGAATATATAAAATTTGTCATTTTTTCTGGTTTGTATAAACTACAAGCAGCAATGCATGCGTACAGTTATTTTGGTAGAAACAAACTCGTCTCTAGGTGCGTTCTAGTTTGAAATGAAATTCTATAAGATTTTAACCAAATTAAAACGATTAAAATATTTTAGATCAATCGGAAGATCTATCTTATGTGGCGATTTTGATGGATTGGGAAATTATGCCAGACAGTCTCAAAATGTTGGAAACAACCCTGGGCAAAGGAAAGTTTGGAATTGTTAAGCAAGGATTATTAACAACTGGTGAAAGTGACCCTGAAGTTGTTGCTGTGAAAATGTTAAAAGGTAAGAAATTATCTTTTAATTAGATATTATTGAAGCAAGGACGTAGTGAAGCATCCGAAGTTAGGGGGGTGTCGGAGGATTTTACCTGAAATTTGAACTTCAATGTTAAAAATTTACCTGAAGTGCAATAATTATAATAGAGCTTTCTCTGATTGATTTCCACTGTCATACTAAGGTAACATTCCGAAGAAAAGGGGGGTGGGGGTGTTCGGGTCCCACAGAAAATTATTCATTTTTGAAGCTCGATGACTGCATATCTGGCGTTTTCTAAAGCAAATCTGCAACGAATTGGATCTAAATTGACTGTATTTTACAAAACTTTATTACGCAAATTTTACCTGAAAATGTCAAAATTTAAACTCAAGTTTAAATTTTACCTGATTTTTACAGTTGGGGGTGGTTTACACCTTCGCACACACATTCAGCCGTCGCTGCTTCCCTGTGTTGAAGTTTCTAGTTATACTAACCAACCCGTTACTTAGTTCTAGTTCTAGTTGGATGCTCTCCTTATAAACATAATATAATTCGTACTTATAAACATAATATAATATACGACGTCCCTGTCGAGATACAAATGTCATCCACATTTACTATAAATGGTACAGATATTTAGATTTATGTGACTATGTCACATGCAATATTATAATTGCTGTAATAGCATAGTTGCCCGGGTTTCTTTTGTTTCAACAGGGTCGATTACTAACTAATCGCCCGCTGTAGCGGGCGATTAGTTCTAATCGCCCGCTAGAGCGGGCGATTAGAACTAATCGCCCGTTACCAAGGGTCACACCTTTGTCTCCCTGACGACTACGCATTAGGCAAGTGCCTCACGCACATAATCGTGCAAGGAACAGCAACAGTTAGCTCAGAGCCGTCAATAGTCTATCATCCGATCCCTGAGTTGCCGCATCATTTAGGTTACGCACGTGCAGTCTCCAATTTTATACTAATATATTTAGCGTTTTTGTTGTGGTACGTTAAATGATAGATTGCGCATGCGTAACCGATTAAAGCGTAAAAATTGCGCATGTGCAACAAGCTTTTACATCCCATAAGCAATGAAGCAAATGTTTTAGCTTAAATACGCTGATTCCAAGTAGGGCATGTTTGTCCATTTTTAAATGGGAGCGAAACTATGCTATTACAAACTAATAGCATGGCTTTTCGGGAGATTAGTGATTAAATGACCCCTTACCCTCGGCAGGTTTGCGGAATTTCCTCGGGCTTCGCCCTCGGGAATTCCGCAAACCTGCCTCGGGTTACGGGGCCATTTAATCACTAATCTCCCTCAAGCCATGCTATTACTTATAATAATATCATGATCGCCTCGTTTTCTATTGTTCTCATAGGGAATTTAAATCCCGTATTTTCCTCATTACGCATGCAACAGGGAATATTTCGCTTTGTCTACTAAATTTCCCCTGCAAATTTAGTAAAAAACAAAAGATTTCTTTGTCTACTAATCTTCCCTCATCAAAAATGCACGGGATGATTAGTAGACAAAGAAATCCTTTGTCTTTTACTAAATTTCCCGCTTCCATATTTAATGCAAACGGAAAACCTAAAACACTCAACAATTTTATTCAACATATTAAATTATAAATGTACACAAGTATGACTTTGCTAAACAATTAAACGTCAAACTCTAACTCAAGACCAACTGTAAAATTCATGCTATCAACGTCTGTTTATATTTATGTTTATATTTACGTGACTAGCAGTGGCTCCTTGAAGTTCTTTTAGTCGCCCGTCTAACGCGTTTTGAAATGGCTTTAATTGTGGCGTTGTAAACAAGCTTATTTCAGGCTTGCTTTCTTGGATCGTACGGTTCATACCACAAAACAAGCTATACAGTACTTCGTGTCTGTAATCGTTGCCATCTTTCTTCCTCACTTCTACAGCAAATTTGCTCAGCCAGCAATTAATTTCTTCCAAATTAATAGAGTCTAAATTTGGAATCCTCTGAAATTCGTTTCTTTCTGCCTGAAAATCTTCAAACTGCTCGTTCCTCTCTTTAACCCACGCGTTGTACACATTTGTACTCCACGTAGTGTGCCTTATGGTATTCTTTGGCACTCTATCTTTTCGAACATTTTCAACTGTCCGGTCTGACACAAAATATAACCTTCCAGTTGCAGCCATATTCGAAAACTAAGTTTAAAATCAATGCAGTGATTTACATAAGTCTCACAACAACAAAGCATGTCCCAAAGGTACACTTATTTCAATCAATAGTCAAACTCATAAACAACTTCATTGAAAAATACAAAATCAAACAGCTAAACTTATATCTGCAGCAAACTTTTTTTAAGTTTTCCTCGGCGATCATAATATTACAAACAAATAACATGACTAGTCGGGAAATTAGCGATTAAATTTCCCTTCGCCTCGGGAAGATTTGTGAAAGTCCTCGGGCTTTAGGTAATCGCTAATTTCCCTCCAGTCATGTTATTACTTATAATAACACACAACGTATATTGAATGCTGTCCTCGTTTGTAAAAAGTTGCAGAGGGTAATAGCTAATTGTATGCAAACGGTTTACAGTGGGTAAAACATTCACTTAAGTAGCGAGAATGCAAACAACAATTTCAAGTATGGTATGAGTCTGGGGACAAGTTACACAATTGGTTTAAATTGTCACTAAAATGATCAACATGCTTAATTGATCTAGGAGAACAACTTATTATGAAACAAAAGTAAAACATTTGAAGGAGGACGACGGTCGAAGGTGGTGGAAAATTGTAAACACCATGGCGGAAAAACCGGAGAAAAACAATTGTTTCAATTTCGAGCGTGATGGGATAATCCTACATCAGTCCGAATTGGCCAACCGCCTGAACGAGTTTTACGCATCAGTAAATAATGACATTCCAACTCTCGACGTAACAAAACTTCCCACCTTCCTCCCAGCCGCCGAACCTACTCCGAGGCTTGAACCGTATGAAGTATGTAAGAAGTTATCGACAATCAAACCTTTCAAATCCAGCTGCCCGGACAATATTCCTTGTCGAATCTTAAGGGATTTCGCTTACGAACTTTCCGAGCCTGTTACAACTATTTCTAACGCATCTCTCGCGTATGGATCTGCCCCTAAAATCTGGAAGGATTCAGATATTATCCCTATCCCTCAGAAACAACAGCCTACTTGCGAAGAAGAGACAAGACCTATTTCACTGACATCTTGTCTATGTAAAGTCCTAGAAGACTTTGTAGTCTCCTGGATGATAACCGATATGGAAGACAGAATTGACCCAAGACAATTTGGATGTCTGAAGGGAACAACGACGACATATTGTTATTTGGACATGATTCAAACTTGGTTGTCATTCTTAGATGGTCACGGAAGACACCTACGGATATGTTTCCTCGATTTTGCAAAGGCCTTTGACAGTATTGGTCATAATATGGTAATATCCAAACCTTTGGATCTAAGTGTTCGACGATCCTTCGTACCATGGATAATTAAATTTCTTTCTAACCGTCGACACAGAGTTAAATTAGGAAATATAATCTCGGATTGGTTACCAATGAAATCTGGCGTCCCACAGGGGACAAAACTTGGTCCAATTTTGTTTTTGGTAATGATAAATAATCTCAATCCCAGATCCAGCGGAACAGATATTTGCAAATACGTTGACGATGTATCAACCTCGGAGGGACTGGCAAAGAACAGCAATTCTAATATGCAATCTAATTTTGACTCAATCTGTTCTTGGTCTCTACAGAACTATATGAAAATTAACGTTAAAAAATGTAAAGAACTACGCATTTGTTTCCTGAAAGATAAATCCGAACTATTGCCATTATTGATAGATGAACAAGCGCTTGAAATCGTTCAGTCTCATAAAGCTCTCGGTCTTATTATTCAGAACAACCTAAAATGGAACGAACACATTGATTCAGTCGTTTCCAAAGCATCTAAACGGTTGTACATTATCCGCACTTTACGCCGAAGTGGCGTCCCTGCTGAAGATTTACTTGAGATCTATTTCGCGATCATACGCTCAGTGTTAGAGTATTATCGTGTTGTTTGGCACAATACTTTACCTTCGTATCTTGCTAACCATTTAGAAAGAGTCCAGAAACGCGCACTTAGAATTATTTTACCAGAATACACCAATAGTGAAGCCCTAACATTTCTGAAATGCGCCCGGCTAGACGAGAGACGTGAAAAACTTTGCCTTAAAACCTTGAAAAATATACCACAAAGAAGTCCTTTATTTAGTCACATTCCTGCATCGAGAGACACCTGTTACGATTACAACCTAAGAAATTCTAATGCATTAACTACGATCAAATGCAGAACAGAACGGTACCCCACCAGGGGCGGATCTAGGAGTAGTCAGATTAGTCACGCGACTAACGTAAAAAAAAAGGCATATAAAAAAATTTGGACTAACGTTTTTGAATTTTTCCCAGCGCAAACACTTCTCTTCATTTCTGATCACGCAATCAAAACTCTATCACACTCCAGCATGTAAAATTCGATCAGTTTTTGCACAAATGAGCCAGCGATTGATTAGTCAAACGATAAGTCAAATTAATAAGCGGTATTCAAATGAAAATTGACTATTCTGCGTTTTAGTTCAAGTGATTTGATTGGTCAAATTTGCTCAGATTACACATTACAGGCATGTTGATTGGTCAGACCTATTTTGACTAACGATTGCGAAATTTTGACTAATTCTGCAAATAGATAGCAGCTTCTGATTGGACAATTTGCGCAAAAGAGTTAAAGAACATCTCCTCTGATTGGCCTTCTAATCTTCAATTTGGAAGCATTGTGCACTGGGTAGCTTTGTTGCAGTTCTGTACAATTTTACAAGCAAATTATTTCGTTTGTATTTATTTACTATTATCGAAATGAACGACGTAGATTTCGAAAAGGTTAGATCGTTATTTGAAAGTGACGATAAGGATGCTTACTGGTGTTCTGTGGAGAATATTTCAAGCAGATAAATTCGGTGGATGCAAGAAAATTGTCTTGGCCGAAACTATATCTAGCTGAAATGTGTTGATTTCTCGAATTCTCGTCGTCTATTTCAGGAGATTGTAAAGAGGTGTATGGCAATAAAGTAAAGTGGTTTGAATTTTGAACAATAAATCGTTGAATTGAACGTACGATTTGCATAATTGTGCGAGGTTAGGTCCAAATTTTTATATACTGCATACATATTCATTATGTGTATAAAATTAAAACACCTCAAGTGGCAGAAATTTGATCTCAAATATTTGATCATGTTGGATAAAAAATATTTATTGTGTACATGCTTTATAGAGTATTGATTGACTGATAATAGCTATGCAAATGTACTTTATAAAGATAATAATAATATAATCTTTGGTTATATTTTTAGATCTGATGCAACTGGCAATTGCTTGTATATGATAGTTTAATTTAAATGTTTACAGTGCAAGTGTGAAATGTCTATTTCGGCACTTATAGGACACTAAAAGGCTATAAGCGAAGCACTATGGTTGAAGACTACTTAAATTAAATGACTTGGCTTGGTCATGATGCAAATTCACCAGGAAATTATTCCTAACATATGTACTGTAGGAAACGTTATTGATAAATTTTCTGGAACATGTGGTTAAACTGTTAAAGTTAAATATCTCGGCTTGCAAAAAGACCACTCTCGCCTCCAATAGCAATTAATAACCTCACTCTTGTACACAACACTGACAGAAAAAACTTCCTGGGGGTTGGTTCTTCATCATCAACCAAACTTAGCCTTTCAAGATCACCACCTTCCCATAATCCCCCCCCCCCCCCCCCAAACATTCAGGCTTTGTAGACAAAAGCTGATGCCAAATATCGGGTCTGATCTCATTGGCTTGAGACAGGTCCATTGCATCTTGAACCAGTTAAATTTTTCAACAGACCAGGGCTTGAAATAACAACTGATCACCAATCAATAATAGGCAAGAAATTGCTTATGATCGGCGGAAAAGCAGGGTTTCCAACCTGAAAAAGCAGGGAAAGTCATGACTGCCGATCACCATGATCGGGAACTTTGGGAACATTATTTCAGGCCCTGACAGACAAACTCCATGTTGATAGTATGTGACTGTCTATATAGAGTATGTATAAGCATAGTATAGGAATAATAGAATACTGTGTTAAAAATCTTGCCAATTTAATATTTCAGATAACTAGATAAGTGAAGTAATAGTTATTTGTAATGAAATATTTTGTATTTGAATCGACTGTGATTAAAATATGTTTAAAATGCCAGGTAAAATAAACTTGTTTTCAATAAAAGTTGGCTTCCACTGAAGCTGCAGCTTTGAGGCACCATTTCACTTGTGATATTATACATTTTGATAGTGGATAGTATATAACAAGATGATGAATTTAATTAGATTAGACATAGGTTAGTAATAGCTAGGAGGACTGGGGAAGGGGCTAAAGGGAAAAACAAGGCAATTTACAAATCCATGAAATGTCCCGTATTGTCACCCATTTTTAACCAAGCTCCTTTTGCTGCGGTGAAAGGTGTGAGGTGGGTTTATGGCACCTTAAAACCAGATTGCTCATTTTAGGTGGTGTTCATTGTTCATTTTATTATCACCCATTTCTAAGTTCTAGCCAAACTCCTTTTGCTCTTGCAAAAGGTGTGAAGGCAAGCAATCTGGTTTTAAGGAGCCAGAAACCTGTGCTTGTGTTCAGATTTTTGAAGGAGCTGTCCTTGTTGCCTTATTGGATCATGGTTTACTATTTTTGGTAAACGTGTTTCCTAGGCACGCTGATGAGCCAAGGTATACACTGTAGGGCGAAACAGTCTATATATTAATATATTATATGCTGAACATTGGCAGGTACGAAAATTATGTCATTTACGCATTTGTAGTTTGATAAAACAAAATATCTATACTTCCACAAAAATTGGACTATCACCCTGACATCAAATGACGTCATGTCAAATGACGTCATCACGTTTTGCGTCATCGATGACGTCATAAAATTTTGACTAACGTGCGAAAAATCCTAGATCCGCCCCTGGTAGGGAACCCTAAATATGGCCACTCGTTGGTTGGAAAACCGTGTGTTGAGATTCAGCGAAACTCACAGACACCAAATATTACGCTCAACCTATTGTCAGGAGCAGACAGTATAATGTACGCCAACACAACGCGCGGGGCAAGCAACACAGTAAAATTTCTCGAGTTTTTTGGTGAAGCATCGCGAAATTTCCAGCCTGATGGCAAACCCATACTCGAATATGGTGACCATATTATAATGGACAACTGTTCAATTCACCATTTTCAAGGTGGGCAAGTCCTTGGCGAATGGCTGGATGATATAGGTTGTGTACTTATGTACCTACCGACTTATTCGCCAGAACTGAACCCGGTAGAACTAGTATTCAACAAACTAAAAACAGTGTTGAAAAGAGCAGAGTACAGAGACTTGTTGAGAGACAACCTGCATGTTGCCGTTTTTGAAGGCTTGAAGCAAATAGAACCAAACGATATGCATGGGTTTTACCGTTATACTGGATATATTGATATCTAAAATGTTACCTGTAATTGTTATGGAATCAGTTACATATAGTTAACTCAACTAAATCATGCAATATACTAGGCAGTATTATTAATAGACAAATATTTCCATTTAGCCCGCTTTTATACCGTCTTTTATGCTTTACTATATATCAATGGTGGTAAATATGGAGTATTACACTATTACTGTATTAAATGACAACAATTTGGACAGACAGTGGGCAAGCAAACTAAACAAAATTGGCCATGGCCCAAACCGATAATGTTACATGCAATGTTCATAATTATGTTAAAAGTATAAAACTGTTGATTTTTTATTTCCGTTGAGTTTTGGGTACAAAAATCATAAATTTTACCAGTATTCGAATTGAAAATCTGATTATTGAAAATTATCTATTGAAAAGCCTTTACAGTCAAAATACAAGTGTCCCACATGTACAATCCGCTTCAGTCTGTAGTCTGTTGTGAATTATTGTACTCGTGCAGTTGTTCTACCGCTACAGGACAACAGAACATTAATAAATGCAATGTATTTATAGTATTAAATCACAACAAACTGCATAAGTGGGTGGGGCACTTTGTATTTTGACTGCAATCTATATATAATATTTGTTTGTGCAACAAAAAGTGTATAAAATGGCATGTTTTGAAAATTGTTGAGTGTTGGGCAAAAACTGTTCCTGCCACTGGCTCTGATGTAAATGTGTCAATAAGTCATGAATTTTACTGTAAAAACACAACACAACATGAAATATAACGTCATGTTCATGTAAAAGAACAAATATGAAAACCTTTTCAATATAGAAATTAGAAGTTAAAAATGTCAACACCAAATTAACTAAACTCGAGATAGATTTATCCCTAGCTTGTAGATGTACATATGATCATATAAGTATATACTTATGTGTCACTTTTTTTCAACAATATTTGCAGCTTCCAAGAGCAAACCTAAACCACTCACGTCTTCTTCTGCATCTGTTGACTGTATTTTTGCGGTTGAACGGGAAGCACGTTCGTGAGAATATCCCGATTCACATGGACGCTGATTGCATTGTAAACTTTGATTCACTGCAATCTGTATCAAATATTCTTCTTCGCGCTTAGTATTTGGTACAGATACATCAAGGACAGATGTGCTCGCCATGGCTTCGACGTTCCCCCTATTTACAACAGTACTATTAGGGAGTGAACCACGACCTGGAAATGTAATTCCCTTTTTTCCCCACAATGATTTCACTGGATTAACATGTTTACTGACGGTTTGCTCGTTTTCGGTTGAAGAAGTGTCACGAACATCGAAGCGTTCATTGTATTTTTTGAGAAGGGAAGGTATTTCATATTTCGATGGCACTTTACCTTGACAAATTCTTTCTAACTTTCTCACATCACAATTTACTATCAGCCAGTTGGGAATAAAATGGCCAGTTGTGCTTTTGCGAAGATACTTTTTAGGGTTGCTATTTATCAAATCTGTTTGTACTTTTGCAACAAAAGTATCCTTAATGCCTTTCAACATTTGTCTCTTGCCCTTCAGATCATCTTGTAGTCGGTGTAGCTTACCCTTCAAGGTTTTCAATTCTTCTTTTTGTTCCTTTAAAAATTTGTTTTCATCCGGATGGCGTTTTATTTCATGACAATATGAGGCCGATTCGCACGGTGTAAACAAACAATTAGTCTTGTTATGGCCAGGGGTATGGCAATATGAACATAGTGGCAACTTAATGAAATCTTCAGGTTCTCGGAAACTCTCTTCAAGTTCCAACAAATCTTGCTCTTTCTCCTCAATTGTTACTCGCAGCTTTTGTTCGTCCGTTTCAACTTTATCAAAATATTTCTGTGTCGGTGATATGTATTGTTCTATATTGGGGTATTCAAACCCAACGGGTTCGTCTTCGACAACACTGGTTTGGTTATCATCGCACAAATTGATTAAAGCAGGTCTAGAATTGTCCTCAAGATTGTCATTTAAATTACGTTTACTTCTAAATCGTTTTTGTGAAGTGTTTTGCTTACTATTAGGAGACGGCGAGTAAAATCTCTTTGACTTTGAGCTGATTTCACTGCTCTGAGATGAAGTAGCCTGCGTGGCAGGCTCTTTGGATGAAGGGTAACTCGATACTTTTAAAACGATTCGAACTGCATCTTCGCGGTCTGGAATAGGCTCAGCTGTTTCGATCATATCCACTAATGAGTCAAAGTCATCGCATCTTAGATCAATCCAATCCTTGTCTCTGTCCATGTATCTAATACGCAACAGCTCAGTCGGGGAAATGTCACATTTTTCATGCAAGTATTTCACTAATAACTCCGAACTAAATCGCTTTATCTCTTCCTCGCGTAAGAAAAATTTAGAATAATTCTTATGATGACCATATGAGTCATATTCGACCTTAAACTCGTACCTTTTTCCTTTCATAGACAGCATTTTCAGTATAAACAAATACACGCTCGAATATACCGAGAAAAACACAGCAAAGTTTTGAGACAAAACGTGTATGCCTTTGTGGGCGGGTCGCTAACGCTTTGTGGGCGTGGCGGTCGTGCGAAATTTTAGTGGCTCGCACACTTCGGTGACATCCGTAATACATATTTTGGACACTAGCTGTCAGGACTATTACATATTTTGGACAGTGGCTGTTAGGACTATTACATATTTTGGACAGTAGCTGTCAGGACTATTACATATTTTGGACAGTGGCTGTTAGGACTATTACATATTTCGGACAGTGGCTGTCAGGACTATTACATATTTTGGACAGTGGCTGTTAGGACTATTACATATTTCGGACAGTGGCTGTCAGGACTATTACATATTTTGGACAGTGGCTGTTAGGACTATTACATATTTCGGACAGTAGCTGTCAGGACTATTACATATTTTGGACAGTGGCTGTTAGGACTATTACATATTTCGGACAGTAGCTGTCAGGACTATTACATATTTTGGACAGTGGCTGTTAGGACTATTACATATTTCGGACAGTGGCTGTCAGGACTATTACATATTTCCGACAGTAGCTGTCAGGACTATTACATATTTTGGACAGTAGCTGTCAGGACTATTACATATTTTGGACATTAGCTGTCAGGACTATTACATATTTTGGACAGTAGCTGTCAGGACTATTACATATTTTGGACATTAGCTGTCAGGACTATTACATATTTTGGACAGTAGCTGTCAGGACTATTACATATTTTGGACAGTAGCTGTAAGGACTATTACATATTTTGGACAGTAGCTGTCAGGACTATTACATATTTTGGACAGTAGCTGTAAGGACTATTACATATTTCGGAGACGAGTTTTGACACTAAGATTATTAAAATTGTCTGTTAGAATCAATGTACCAGACTTGTAATATTCTTAATTTCAAAATTCATCCTTTAGATTGAATTTTCGATTATTTCTTATTATAACTGAAGTAACCGTTGTTACCAGTAGACTACGACATTAAGAGGCCAGAAGAATTGAATGAATATCCTTCGCAATTCTTAAGGGAAGTGCAGCGCTTTGGGTCCCACCTTACCTAGCCCTTTAAAGTCAACAACATGACTGTATGCATGTATTGTATATAATGACTGGAAAGTTTGCCTAAAAGGATAATTGACATAGAGAGAATGATTGTCACCTTTTAAGTTTTATTCACTTTATTACACATCATAAAAATTTAATAGCAAACATTAAACTTAACTATTAAATTTGAGTCAAATTTTGACTTTGATCCGCCAAGGGGTAGCCTGTGTACAGACTGTAGTCCAGATCTGGGTAGTTGATTGTGTTTGATTGGCTGAGTTCAAAAGTCAACAAAGTTCTGACTTTGAATAACGTCACATCGCGCTCAGGAATTGCCGTTATTTTCAACTCAGTGCATTTCATTTGTTGAATATAGGATATCATATTACTGTACGATACATCAGAAATATTTTTGCGTCGAAAATTTAGTAGTTTGAAGCATAGAGAGCAGTAAAATTTACAAAGAACATCAAGTGTCAAGAAAATATTATTTCGATTTTAAAAATCAAAGTCCAACGTTCGTTGATATTTAAGTCCAGTCAGTCAGAATCCATTACGTTCAGTCGTGACCGATCAGAATCAACTACCCAGATCTGGGTAGCGCTGCTGGGGGTCGACAAGCAATGCGACGAATTTTCACAGCCTGTGTATTACAGCATAATACAGTCTGTATAGGGGCTAGTCAAGGGGAGGTAATTGATTTTTCAGGAGAAGTGCAACAATTCTCAGGGAAGTTGCAAAACGATCTCTCTGCGCATGGCAGAGAATTACTCTGCGCATGGCAGAGAATTAAAAGCTATACCATTGACTTTCTAATAAATATTTGATATAATTTCCTTGCAGTTATAATAGCAAATACTGATGCACCAAACTTCTTTGGATTCAGAAAAAATACTTCAAATTACGTATGTAATGCGGACGAGCCGCTTGTTATGTCAGGTGGTGTTACCGCTCACTTTACGAATGTTATTTTGCAACCATTCTCAAGTCATGTTACGCCCCAACCCGATGGTACGTAGATAATTTAAACAATGGCTTTTTGTTGTAAATAGAGCTAGGTTTAAAATGTACTGTATGTGGTCCTTTTAATCTATTCATTGCGGTACTCAAACGAAGTTAGGCATTGCTTTATATTCGTTGCGTAAGTTTGTTAGTCTGTTAGTTTGTGATTTTGTTCAAAATCATAAGGTTTTGGTATTTATTCAAAAATATTATGTCTTCGCGCTTGTGGTTCACTTGTTTTGCGCATGATCCAGGGCACCGCACTGTGGTACTATGTCTATAACTTAAAATACTTTCATGCATTGTTGCAGTCAGTATCTTAGGAGGTGTTATGGGTGGGCTGGGTGACAGAGGGCACTTTAATGAAGGGTGCTCTTTTGACATTAGTCCCCCATTGCTTTCTAGTTTCTACACCCCTAATTGTTGTTTTTATGTAGAATATCATGGTTCTGTTGATAGTATTTCTGTTGTGTAGTTAGCCATGATTGTATTTCTATGTAGGATATTGTTGTCGACTTGTCGTGCTGATTGAACTTTCTTTCTGTTTATAGGGTATCGTTGTCCTGCTGACGATAAGGGTGATGATGATGATGACGATAACACTGTCCCAATTGCAGTCGGTGCCGCTCTTGGGGGGCTGGTACTCATTGTTCTAGTCGCATATATAATTGGAAGGCGCCGTTCTAACCGAGGCTATGAACAAGTTTAATCAGTTATTATTAAGGACAGACAATTCGCAGATATTTACTAAAATTAATTCTTGTTTTGTGGACATTTTTAAAACTAATCTATAAAGTACGGCGTATTCTTGGTTTTTGGACATGGTAGTCCAATTGCTGTGAATGATTTTGTAGAAGTTCTTTTACGTTTTGGTGGAGAACCTGTTCCCGTGAATTTTAAACGTATGATGTGATTCTTAGGGAGGAACTTTTCTTGGCTATGACTGGACATTTAAGTTACAACAGTCAGTGACATTTCATAAACATTGGGACAATGACAACAAAAGAGATCCTGACAACAAAAGAGATCCTCTCTAAGTTTTAATATTTTGAAACTCGAAAAGATTGCTAAACGTTTACAAATGTTTTTCGGATCTATTTTTATGTAATGATACGGTAAGACTATAGAAATTTGGCAAAACCTTAAATCGGGCCATAAATACCCATGGTTATTCTTCTGCTTGAAGTCGAAGCCCCTTTTTTGTTCCCATGTATTTTTTATTACTCTACCCAAGAAACACGCTAACTGTATTCCCCCAGTTTTTTCAATTATCACGAGAGCAGGTTCTGTATTTTTACTTTATATTCGTTACGCACACTTCTTGCTCGCTTATATTCGGTTAGGCCTTTTGTTAGAAAATCGACATGTTGAACGTTACTCCATGACAATGAGTTTCAAATGTTTCAACCACTAATAAATATGAGTATAATTAAGGTATTGAATTGAGTATGGTAATGTGTTACAGTTGATTTGCAAAAGTGGCATCTTGCACAGTAAAAATAAATTTGTATGTTTAGAGAAACAGCATTGTAATTCTTAAAATATTAGTCTATACTCTCCGTCAATAGATTACACAAAATTAATTTTGTATTCGCTTCATTAACCCGTGACATTCACATCTTTGCTGGAGCTGCGTCTGTTCTGCATTTGGAGGTCGTGTAACACCGAGGAACTAAACAAGTGGCGGGCAGAAATATTGGGGGGAGGGGAGGCGGTTTTACCAACATCGATTATAGGACCACCTTTAGTTGCTGAAAATCCCCGCTTACCCGGGATTGAAATTGTTAGACATGAAGTGCGACTTATTTCAATTGCTCAAAATACGTCGCACTTCATTGAATCCCGGGTAAGCGGGACCATAATTCAGTGCTGGAAGATGTCCGGCAGCGCCAGCAGCACCGCTGCCAGGAAATGTTTAACAAAATATCTTCGCAGGAAATTTTCTTGCACCTTGCAGGAAATATTTTTTCACGCCATATAATTTACTTATTGTTTAAAAATTCCAAATTAAGCATTTTGCAAGTCAAGGTGTGCGCCATCATAGTCCACACGTTCTCTGAAATCTACATAGGAACGACGTTTTATAGTTCACTTATACAGGAAATTTTAATTTTTGAATTTTGCTGCCAGGAAGATAAATATATTTTCTAGGCCTGGACCATATAAACAGCCCCTAACACAGTTATTCAGCTATCCTTCAAATGTTTTCAGAAATTATTGGGGAGGGTCCTTTAACCTAGTGTCCTTTAACTGATCTAAGCTGAAACGCTTGCTTGCTCTCTTTCATTGTATTCGGATAAATACTCACAGCGGTAAATTTTCGCGTTTCCCTGAGAAAGTTTCAATACAATCGTGAGTTGCAGGAATTCTAGACGTTGGAGAATATGCTGACCTCACCTGGACCCTACTTTTGTTCTTACCGCACGGATTCTTGAGCTCTTTGCTGACCCTTTATTGATCAGGGTCGGTTGAACGGATAGTGATTTTGTTCACTTTTTATTGTGGGTCCATGCTTTTCGGGTATATTTATACAAAGTTTCAAAATCTTAATTAGAATAGTTTTTTTTTATGTGAGAGCTCCTAGCGTTTGGAACACTACAGTTCCAGGGCCGGTTGTTCAGAACTGGTTTAGCGCTAATCCTGGGTTAAAATTTAACCTACTGTTTTAGTTTATGTATTTTCTGCACATCCATCTGTTTTAAAACTTCACAGAAGAAAACTCTTATTGGTCCAGACAAGATTTCTGAAGGAATATTTCCAAGTTTATAACGAAGCTGTTGGGACGTTTGCTTTGGATTTTAGGTTAACCTAGGGTTGAGCTAATCGGCTTTTGAACAACCGGCCCCAGGTGATAATTAAGTTTTCAAGGAATATATTTGGATTAGCTAGATTATGCAGTGACGTTTTAGTACAATATGTGATCTATTTGGACAACCTATAATGATCACATATATCCGCCCCAAGGAATTTCGCAAATATTCTGGCGCAACCGCATGTTTCTTGAGAGGAAAACGCTCACAACGAAGGTGATGTCTATTTATTTTGTAATAGAATTATTAAATACATATTTTTTGCCCATGTATTTTGTAAATAATGTTATTTTACAATCCATGGTCTAACTAAAACATGTCGGCAAAGCAAACCGAACCAGCCTGCATACGATGCGTTATCTGGTTCCTTTCTCATTCATCAACGTTGAATAGCCGTTGGAAAATTTCTTGCAAAGAAATTCCTCCCAAGAAATTCTTCGGTTCATGAAATGAATCAAAATACGAACGTTTAGAACATGGTCACTGATATGGTCTGGAAAATTGGCCCTTCTATCTTTTTTAATGCAAACTTGGGCACGGTCCTTTCCCTCAACTGTGCTGTTGAAATATTAGAGAGGCTCAGATTTGACTTCCACTACCTCTCACTGACTTAGTACGCATCTGACTGGTTCATCCAATATATCAAACGCATCTGATTGGTTAATCCGATTTATTATATAAACATAAGTGTTATATAGAGTTTTTGGCCACTGAGAAAAATCGTATTTGAACACACGTAAAAAATACGATATTTTTACGTGTGAAAATATCATTTGTTGTAAAACGCATTGCCACGGACGTTTTATTGTTTTTCACTGAATTTTGTTTATATAATAAACAGAAAAATACATGGGTGCTTGGAAATATCAGATTTATTTCTCGTGTTGAACATGATATCATGTTCAACACTCGAAATAAATCTGGTATTTCCGCGCACCCATGTATTATTCTCTATATATTAAACGCATCTGATTGGTTAATAGTCCATCAATGGCAGCGGTAGTCAAATCTGAACCTCCTTAATAAGCAAGACTTCAAACGTTTTATGCACGATGAAGTTTGCCGACTTCCCAAACCATATGCAAGTTGACTTTATTCAGATATTAGTTATCTAAAGTAGCCGTTTTATGTTTTTTCATTCGAGTATCTGTTTATGAATATTTTAATGCTGCCTGTCCAATCAGCAGCGACAATAACTTCGGGTCCAGTTCCCCCAGTACTGTTGTCGTCATACTCGGTTGGAACGACATTCCATGGACAGGGAGCAAAGATGGCGGCAGTCACGACAGCATTGTGAGCTGGAACGTAAAATAATGCGTTCTTAAAAATATCTTTCAGGTATATTGGAATCTTGTTTAAATACAGGATAGAAAACGAGTTTTTCAGTGAAATTCAAGGCCGACCACATACTCGTTCCCAGGGCTTCTTGGCTGCCTACGTTGAAGCCACATGAAGCCCCGACAACGAGGGCGGGCCGACCACCACATATATTTCCACAAGCCATTCCAGTAAGGAAGATATGTGGTTCTCAGTCAGTCAATCAGCTCTAATAGGTTACATTCTAATTAATCATAGATTGCTTGTTTCATGAATTTTTGTGGTAATTGACAAGTTGGCAATGATTGTTTCAAGGAGTAATTTAATATTATTGGGATAAACATTTATGAAAGACTAGGAGCAATACCTTACCAATAACTCTCGATCAAGAAACATTCAAAAACTGTATAAATCAACAGTATAATTGCAGTGCTTGATTCACGTTTGCTAGTGTAGAACGGGGGGTAAAGTTTATGTATTTCTGAAATGATGACAATTACCATCGTTTCTATTGAAAGGCAAACATGCAGGTATTAACATTGTCATTGTGAACTGGACCAGACTGATTAAATGTGATTGACTTGACATTGACACAAACAATCACAAAACCATGAACAATGTTTTTATCTTGGGCAGATTTAGACGACGAGGCAAACACGAGGACGCAGCTATAGACTAAATTTTGATCCAGACAAGAAAGACGAAATCTATCATTATAGCTTATACGAAAATTAGTAAAATTGCCAAATTTGGTTGCAAGATGTTGTAAAATACGGAAAATTAGCCCTGTGAAATTAGCAAATTTTGGTGCATTTTTCCGCGCGTAATACTAAAATATTCAAAATTTGATAATTTCACATGCAGGACTATATTTTTCGTACTTTACAACATTTCGCAACCAAACTTTGCAACCAAACTTTGTACTAATTTTAGGATGCTCTTTTGAGCTATTTCGTCTTTCTTGCCTAGATAAAAAAATTAGTCGATAGCTGAAATCATCCTTTTCAGCTCAAAAATTGAGAGCTAAGGAACTTGATTACTGTATTAAATTGAAGCTTTTTAAAATAACCTTACAAATGGCTAAGTTGGGGAAAAACGATCCGGCATCTGCTATGAGACAGATTTTATGTAACTCCTCCAGCGTCGCAACAAGCATTCACGTTTAACGTTGTATAGAGAATGACAACGTTGTTGAAGATACCCCTGGGGCCACAAACTTTTCAAACTTTTTGTTTTGCATGAAGAATTTTTTTGTTTCGAAGGCGCGTCTTTCAGTTTGCGTCGTGTTTTCTAGATTAGTCTATAAATAGTCATTCGATGACATCTTACCTGAAAAACTTTCATAGAAATCATTTTTATCTTTCCTAGTTGACGCAATGCGGTGTTGAGCTCTCCACATGTAAACATAATGATCTTCAGAACCTGATATCACTAACTCGCCATCATGACTAAGAAATGAGAGTTCAGATACATTATGGCATTCACTAATTTATGTTGTTAATATATACTTTAACGTAATACGTGATTGGTTGATTTGTGGTCAGGTAGAAAAATGCAATGCATTTATCCCACCGTGCAACAGGTGGACAATGTTGCCCGCTTCTGCCGGCTACGTTGCTATGTACACAAATGGAGCTGGAAATTTACAAAGTTTTCCCAGTCTATCACAGGAATACTGACAGTAGGCCTATGTTATAGAGAAGAAAAATACACAACGAGCGACTGGAAATGCTTTGGAAACCCTTTAACAGGTTATTTTACATGTACACGGAAATGGCGGGGGAAATGTCAGCCAAAATAATAGGAGTAAATACGGGAAAAGAAAAGCGCTGTTTAATCATTGAAATGAATATAACTGGAACGCTACCTTCAGATAAACTGCCTATTTTTTAAGCCAAAATTTGACACCCCCCCCCCCAGACACGCGTGTCTGAGGGTCAAACCCACGTGTTTATGTCATGATTGACTGATTAAGAGCGCTCTTCGCATGTGTGAAGACTGGGACTGACCTTCAAGTTTCCGGTTGGAGGTAGCATTCCAGTTATATTCATTTCAATGACTATTGGGTTTTTTTCCTCGCTCCCTTTCTATCGCCTTCGCCTCCCCCCTCCTAGCTTCTCCCACCCTCGTCCTCCCCCCTAAAATAGCGCCTGCTACGCAGGCTAACGTAGTTATACTGACGTACATTGTAGTTATAGGCCTTTAAACAACGGACTGTTCCTGAGTCCCAGGAACAAAAAAATCTTTTGAACTTATTAACTAACTTTTTACGCTCTTTTTAAATCAATAAAGGTCCCACAAGTGATACAGGCACTTTAAATCTTTTGCTAGAGCTTCGTGAAACAACATTATTTCCAGTCTTTTGAATATAAACAGTAAATAACGTTTGCCCGCGGTGTTGGTGATGTTTTGTTCTCGGGAGCATACATCAAGTGTGTATATTGACATCAGTATTGCGTACTTGCAGTCTAATTTTTTTGGTAAGAATTTAATTAACATTCCTAACTAAACTAGACGTGCAAAGTTGTGAATAATTTTAATTAAGCAAGTAGTGTAAAAAAACTTAATTACAAGTTTTACGATTGCCGTATAAATGACTTTTACATTTTGGCTCATCTTTAACGAGGATAACTATGTAACTCGCGCAGAACTGTTTTATGCTTAATTTCCAAACAATTTAGTGAGTGACGACAAACAGCTACACTAACCTGAAACTTCCCTTGATTTGACTGCTAGAATTTGTAAAACCTTTATACTTGCAATGTAAGGAATGATCTTTCAAACTATACAGACGTATTCGAGAGTCATTGGACGTGATTAGAATCTGAAATATATAACGTTACGAGTGAATGAAAAAACAACGCTTGAAAACCAAGATTACAGATAAGTAGTACATAGAATCTTACAAATAATCAACGACCAACCTTATCTTCTCCCGGCATCGGCTCAATCCCGCTTATCTTTCGTCCTTGCTTTTTCCTTGTTGATCGAATTTGCCACTGTGTGTAATACTTGAGATGCTAAACATTCAATTTGATTCTCTATCAATATACGTTCACTGAAAAATGGTGGTCCCAGAAAAATAAACTTTTTTCCAGCCTTGACTATATATATGTATTGACTCTGTGTTTGGAGCAGACAACCCTTCTCCCACAACATTGTGTGTGTCATAGTTGTTTTCTTAATTGTCCTAGAATATTCGCTTAACGAATTGGTGCATTAATAGTAATACATTATACATGTAATCGAAACATTTAGCATTATTTATACTCGTCCTCACGCAGAAATGTCAATACATTTGAAATTAACCTTCATAAGTGGCACCAGAAAATAATTATTTACATAAACATTGTAAACTGCTAAACGACACCATTATTTATTTAACTGGTAAGAAAATCCATAATAATTAGCGTTGTAAAAACACCGCTGATTTTCAATTTGGGAAAGCGCTCGATCCGCCAGCCAAGATTTTCATCAGTACAAATAATATTTGAATAAAATATTAAAAAACAAATTTTCCAAACACACGTATTGTTATATTCACCAATCAAACCTACAAACTCACCTCAGTCTCATAAAATATACATCGTCCATCATATGTTCCAATGACAGCAAATTTTCCGTTCATACAGAAGTTTGCAGCTGTGATTAAATGACTCCCTGATAAAGCAAACATATGGAAAAATTAATAAGGAGTCTTTTCTGAAAATGCAAGGAAAGGAAAATGCTCTGGAAACCAGAGTTTAATTTTCTAGCTCCTAGAAGTATCAACAAGTCTGAGGTTGACCCTCCATCTCAGTTGTATTGTCCATACATGTAAAACCACTAACTGCACGCTCAATTACTGCGCAAATTAGCCGTTGATGATTTTTTTAATGAAGTACTGTACGGTATATATAGTAAGATCCTCGTTCCCAGGCATTGTCGGAAAATGCATGTTGGAACAAAAATGATAGAAATGTGGATAAGTGATGCTGATGAGGGTTTCTGGGTGTAAAATTTACCAAAGCTATAGAAACAAACCTGCTCCTTCCAGTTCATTCCAGAGAGCAACTTTCTTATCAGGAATATTCCACAGTCGTAGCTTCCCATCCAAAGATCCACTCAGAAAATAACGGTCATCC